AAAAGAGAATCATTGATAATCTCTTATCCGACAAAATAAATTGCTGCAGTAAAAAAAGTGACCTTGTCCTAATGAAGCGTGTGACATTATACGTCTTGAAATGTCAAGTAAAAAATGCACACATAAAGTATTACTGCACGTGCGTTCGAACATCTCCCTGTGTAATCCATATTTCAACGTTCTAATCAACTTATCATGTTCCATTTTTAAAAGTAACAAATCTATAAAAAGTTCTTAATTTAAGGGAAATCTTGCGAATGGATGCCTTTTTTCCCTCTCTTTAATAAAGAATTCAAGTAATAAAAATACCTTTATATGTAAGAAAAGTTTGTTTGAAGGTGAAAAATGATACGATTAAATTGAACACTTTAATTAATGGAAAAAGCAGGGATCGCTTTCAGAAGACAAATTTGTCTTCCTTTTTCACCTTTGTCAATGAACAATTAAGAGTACATAGAACTCGATTCAATGCATTAGAAGCGTTGAATGAATAGAATGTCAAATTGACCGGTCACGCAGTTATTCGAGAGTTGCATGACGCTCTCCAGGCACGTGCCAGACGGAGTTAAATGGCAACAATGAAATAAAAGCTTGTTAATCATTTGTCATTTTTTCGTAAGTTTGTTTAAAAAAAATTTCTCTTAACCACTCTCATTTTCCTACAAATTAATTAGGCAAACAAGCGACGAAAGAGAAAAAAGAGACGCCGAAAGAAAGGTATAAACTTAGAAGGGAAGAGAAGGATGTGGGAACGGGGGAAGAGAAAGACTTGTATTTGTTCTTTTCCTCCTTTTTTATCCCTACTTATCAGGGATGCGTTTCTCAGCATGCAGGTACTTAACCTCGTTCCCCAAAGGAAAAACAATAGCCCTACTTGCCCTATTGGCTCTTTTCTTGCTATTTAGCAGGGTATAAGAGGTAGAGTCAACAATTAAATGCAACCTGCATTACACCGAATATGTACAAAGTATTAAGAATAAGAGTAGAAGGGTACTTCTATCAGTCCTTAATCAGATACATGGGTTTCTCGTGTAACTTTTTTGGGCAAACAACTTAAAAACCTGTATATTTTCAAAACAAATAACACGTTTTATTCGTACCAGGTCCATTTTGCATAGTGTTTACTGTCTCTCTCCAACTTTTCTTTTTTCTTTGTCATGTGACGTTAGTTTCTATCGGATTATGTCAAAAGTGTTGAAATACAGCTCGATGTACTGTTGATATATGTTTAAATAATTGCGGGGCTCCCATTTCGAACGTAACATCTATAAAAGTTGGAATTACCACTAATTTTTCTCTCTTTGAACTATGTGAATGATATGTAAATATCAAAGAGGATAAAGACAATTTCCCATTTTAGACAAAATTACGCAATCAAACGTTTACTCTTTTTCCTCTTTCAATCACATAAAAAAAATAAGTAAATTTATTTCTTTGACACTTTTGCGCTTGTTACATTCAAGATTATTATCGTAAAACTCAAGCATCACTTCAGCATTGCAAAGAGGCTTTCCTGTTGAAAATTGACAGGTTTCGTCTTCATAAAAAGTTTAAGTTTATCCTTCCGTTTTCCGTTCTAAACATAAATAAGTGTCGTATCTCTCATCTTCTCTCCTCCTCCTTTCTCTTCTCTGCCTCCGTGTTGCCCATCCCCTTCTCTCTCTTTCTCTCTCTCTCTCTCTCTCTTTACGGAAGCATCTTGATAATGAGCACTTTTTAAGAGCCATTTCCGACTTAAGAGACTTTGTTGATTACTCGAACGATAACTTTATTTCTGTAATACATTTCACATTCAAAACTATCTAAAGTCTATTATGTAATTTTTTTATTGTCTATAGCAATTTAACAGGTCTATTAAACTCTCACAGAAAGGAGAACGCCGCGAAAAACTCGCCCAAAGCTATATCGAACGATCTATAAAACTGTTACGTAAGGCATTTCAGCATGAGCAGCTGAAAGCAATGGTGTCTAGACATAGAAAACTATACAGACACGTCTATTTAACGCAATAGAGCGTTGCTAAACACCTGGGTTCAGCGATAGCTCCGCCCAACAGTGAAATTTCCGAGAAAGTCGGTGATTGGATAATAATCCAACGAATCAAATACGAGCTCGAGTTGACAAAGCGGAAAAGTGGTGTTGTCTGGAGTTTTAGAGACTAGTTGATGTTTTTACCGTGTCAAGGGCCGTTCCGTTAAGGATGATGTTGAATTTCAGGGACTCTCCCGATCTTATAACCGAGGATTCTATACAATACGAAAGGTTTGTTGTCAAAATTTATAACATTATTGGTAGGAAAGAAAAGCCATTTTTATAAGAAAGTGTACAACTTACGTGTGTGTAAAAATTTTAGTATATTGTACATATATATATATATATATATATATATATATATATATATATATATATATTTATATATTAGGCATATTAAGGTAGACTTAACAAGTTTGGCTGTATTCAAAACACGAACAACCATATCAAATAGCTTATTTTTATTTAATTGCTAAATCTGATAGCGGAAAGTTGAATAGCAATAAATTTATTGGATTGCCAAAGTATAACGGTAGGAAGGCCCGTAAGCAATTAACATGCACTGCTATTACTCTCTTGAGTAATTCGGGGTTATATAATCATAACTATTGGTTTCTACGCCTTCGGCAATGGCCTACAGTGATGGCAATTACCCTTTTCAATGGCAGTAACAATCTTGTGAAAAAGAAACGGTCAGCTAGAAGATAAAATATTTGTCTTGTGTGTAATTGCCATAGTTTACGAGCTCTATAATTATTCTCATGAATATTTGATCAATCTGTATAGTATTTTCATATATTAATATTAAAGTAAATTTCGGTGAATGTTAGGAATGGTAAATTAGTAGTTGAGAAAAAAACTAGGTGGGGAAGCTTCCCCCCTTCCGTTTGATTGTCGTGCAAACTCGTAAATCTATAAAAGAGTACGAGAGGGAGGGCGGTAAGAGAAAGAGAGGAGAAGAAATAGCTATAGTCGCAACATTATCAAAGAGAGAGAGAGAGAGAGAGAGGACAAGAAAAGAATAAATTTAATAGTATAATTATATATATAATTAAGTCGTCTAAACGTTAAACATGATCTAAAAGTAATATATTTCTTTTATGTGCGAAATTTAAGAAAGACCATTTGTGATATTATATGTTAAGCGCCATTAGAATGTGATTTAAAGCCAATATATTCTCACGTAACTACATAAAAACGTCAAGACTTGTAAATATTAACAATCCTAATTACTATTGATAAGCTTGGTGTTTTTATTTTTTTTCCCTCCATCTCCCACTTGTATTATTTATTTAAACATCTGAGGTTGTTTGTCACGCTCCTATATCGTTTTACTAACATAAACTTAGCCCTCAAATATTTTGATCGGGCAGATAACTTATGCGTCTAGGAGAATTTCTTGCGCCGTTTAAATATGCGATGGATTGAATGTACACCCTTCGTTTACAAATTGTTTACATATTTCTCCTATATCCAATACCCTACTCGATTTTCGCTCATTAAACAACAGAATTTTCTATTAGCCTCATATTTTATTAATTATTCGTACAAGTACGCTAAAGTGCTGTATATAATGTTTTGTGGCGCCTATCCTCCTCTTAGATATTATTATGCGCATGTTTCACGCTACTAATCGATCATCACCCTTTGAAGAGGCAAAAAAATTTCAGCCTCATTAATTTTCGGTCATGCTGGTCTGATCACCCGCATTCTCTTTTCAATATGAGCAAAGTTAACGAAAGAGAGAAAAAGTTAAATGACCAGGGGCCCTTTAAAAATCAATCAGTCTAATTATCTTTCATAAATAAATCTTGCCCCTACTTAAAGAAACCAACCAATCATAATCTTTGGTTTCATTGATTTCTCTTTTCCGGCCCGCTCTCGCCTTATATTTTTAAACGTTTATGGAATGTTCGCCTTGTCGTCATTCATTAACTTAAAACATACAAAATATGCGGCCCCGACTAATGACGCTCGAAAATGTTTGTTGCTTTTTCCCTTTGATTTACGACTCGTGTTGAATATATCAACAACATTTTTACTGTTAGCTTCATCATCTATAACTCGCTTATAATGACTTTTAACAATTGTCAAATAGCTTTGATAAACACTGTCCGGGAGGGAGGGGGAGGAGGAGGAGTAGAGAGGAGTAGATAAAGAAGGAAGAAAATGTTCATTTATCAAGTAATTTAACCCGCTAATAAAAAAAGACCCCGCTAATAATTACAGAATAGAGTTTGACAATAATCGTCTAGTTCTAAAGGGAATTTTCAAGCATTAATCCTCTAAAATTATTGCTATACATTTCAAGTGTCAACGGGCGTCTAGAGCGTTATTAGTCATTTATTATATTACGGAAAAAATTATCATAATAACAAAGAATAGTAAGGGCCCGAATAAAGAAAGGAGAAGACAAGAAACGCTAGAAGTGATAGGAAAAGAAGAATAAAAAGAGAGGAATGCGTGTTAAAGAAAGAAAAAAAACGAGAAAAAAAAGGGGGAACCTTCTGTTATCGGATACTTTGATAAAAAGTGATATAGTCTTTCTCGCAACTGTTGTTTGCAACTTATCGCTTGGTTACAACTGTTTATGGAAAAGAGTGAAAAGAGCGAAAAGCCCCTTTAAATTGTCATTTAATACTTTTTGTACAAGTGTAATGGCGAGTGAAAAACTATCGTTGAAAGTTTATTTTCAATTTTCCGGTTTAAGTTTTCCACTATGTGTCAAGTTTGTCATAGCCGACGAGGTTTTGTCGTTAAAAAAACAGGTAAGACATTTAGAGTTTGTTTTTTGAAATAACACGATAAACGCGTGCCCCGTCCGTCGACGCTGGCGTCTATTATAGCTGTCAGATGTTAATAATGAAAAAGTCAGGTGAAAAGGGGCGTTAGTTGAATTTTTAAAGAAATTGAATATCAAGTTGTTCATACTAAATGTAATATTTGTTCGTTGTTTAAATGTTGTCTAAAATGTATGCGACACTTTACGGCCGATTAGACGCGAACAGTAAACAATTGTGAAAAATATAAGAAGATATAAAACAGACACGCACTGTCGGATATCTAGTTACGACATATCACATGTTATCACCTAATTTATTAACTATTCTCCCTATTATATCAGTTACTAGTAGTAGTCGTTCCTAACGTGTTTTCATTACAGTCTGCCAAACTGTTAAGTAAGCCTATAAATTTTGAAATAATTGACGAAAAGGTTATACGGTTAAAGGTAATTTAATAATAATGAATTTTTCAGCATTGAATGCAAAATTGGTAGAAGATTAGCCAAAATTGGTGACGCGCTTGACGAAAAGTACAAGAAACGCCATAAGAAAAAAGACGATATGGGAGGGGCGTCGAATAAATTAAATAAATCTAAGGAAACTAATGAAAAAAGGTAAAACGAAGCGTTTAAACAAAACTCTAACTAATTTCTCTCTTTTTTCAGCCTCTTATCTCAATCATTACCACTGACGGTAAGCTTTTCATGTATAAAAAGGGTCGGATTCGTAAAGGAATTAATTAATTCCCGAATGTACTTTTTGAACAATCTTCAACAAAGCCGTACTTTATCAAACGAAATTTCGCCGCGGCTAATGAAAGCGTGTCAGTCTGACATCACGTGACTTAGGTAGGGGCGGAGTTAGAGTTGCATAATAAATTTTCTAGACACGGGGAGTTAAGGGAGATATTTTGAAGGGAACGATATGACTCATATGAGGGTGTTTTTTGTCTTTCGCTTGATTTGTGTTTCCTTCTGGGATACATGCGGGTCTCTTTTTCAAGAGTAATGTTGCTTTCTTTGTTTGTCTTTGACTGGGCGTATAACCAACCATTACGAATTTGTTTGACTCGTTCACATGTCTCCAATTTTGAGACACGCATACAATAACTCTTATTTTCTCTCTCCCTCTCCCTCCCTATCGTTCCATACCTTACGGTCTTGACTCTTTTTGCGACAGATATCTTCATATTCTATTCATATAGTCTATTATAGTTAACGTAATATGAAACTCTCAGATGTCCGTGTTTTGCCGGATTTATTTATAGCTTTGTGGGAAGAATGCCATTAGGGGAGTGTAATATTAGTTTATCTTCGATTTTTTCATGTAAGGAATCGACTACGAGTAAGTTTATACGATTACAAAGAACTCTGTCCAAGGTACGCACGAACATAATATTGCAGAATATGTAGTTCATACGATCCTAAAGAAACTGCGCACCTGACCTTTCAATATTTTTATATTATGATCAATTTGTTATCTCAGCTGTTTGTAATGTGAGAAAAATGTTCAAGTAAACAATGAAAAAAGGTAAAAGAACAACTAAAAACCTTTTAACTTGAATATTTAAATAAAAAAGAAAAAGATGAAAAAACAAATCAGCTCATCCTTCAAATAGAATTTTACATATTGAACTGCAATCTCATTTGCATATTTCACGCTTTTGTATTTAACAAAGTGGGAAAAAGATAGAGAGAGATGAAGAATAAAAAAAATTCCTTTTATTTCTCGTCATCACCTTCCCCTCCCACTCCTCCCCCTCCCACCCCACCTACCATCCCTTCGCCCCATCTCTTACATCATTCGGTACAATTCTCTACTGATGAGGATAAGCGAGTGTGGGGTTAAATTAATCCTTTGATGTTACAAGAGTTAACTCAATTGTGTAAAAAATCACTAGGGGGTGCTATTGACCAAAATTCTTCTTTGTTATTTTACATAATGTGGGGAAATGTGGGCTAATTGATTTTTCCAATCTTAATACTTAATGTATAACAAGCAATATACTTGCCCACCCAAAGTATTAAAATAAGTGTATATATTAAAAATTCTTCATTGTTGATTAAGCAAACACAGACTTTCTCTTAATTCTTTTTAACTTCTTTGAAGTTTGTGTAGTTTTTTTGCAGTTTTTGCAGTTGATTTGTTGTGTTAGCTGTTTTTTTTGTTGGTTAAAGTCAATAGTAATGTGAGGAAAAAAAATAAAAGGAAAAAATTTTTGCAGTTGTGCAAAGAGAATACAAAAAGGGAAAGAGAGAGAGAGAGAGAGAGAGAGAAAGATAGATAAACAATCTTCAGGTGACCAGCCTTCTTTATCCCTTCTTAGGAGGGCAGAGAGATAGATAGATTGTTTGAAAGATAGGTGAACTAAAAGCATACGTGAGAAGGATAAAGAGAGAAAGTAGTAAAAGTAAACATAAAAATAACGAGGAAGACGGAAAAAGGAAGAGAAAGGATAATTAATTGTTATATGGGTTAATTAAACAAGTTATACCCATCTAATAGAACCAATCAAAGAGTAATTTTGACGCTAACAATTGGTAGTTTACGGTCATTTTCACCCTTTCTGTATCAGATACAAGAAAATTCGTGACCCGAAAAACATACAAACTATTGCCGCTAATAATAGACATCAGTGTGCCCGAGAAAAAATTTGTCACGATAAACGAGGCGGAAAACACCGCTTGTCAAGCGCGTAAAAATTCGATCGATCGTATAATTAAGTTTCTTTTAGCGGAAAAGGGAAAAATCGACACAAAAAATGTCTCCTTTGAACTTTTGAAAAGGACGCCGCGGCGTAAATAAAGTAACGCCGAACAGATTGAGTGACGCCTTAATCGGAAGCTGCCGTTTCCGGCCGTCTCTTTTTGATATGGTGAAAATATCGAAGAAACCCTGCACCTGTTGTCCATTCGGTCGAGAAATGCAAGTTGCTCACTTTTGCATATTACGTAATGGGCGACGCTCCATTAGGCTGTTCATAATAGACGCTTTCCCGACTAATTGGAAATTTTGTAATGGACGAGACGTACGTACGTCGTTATCTATATCAGCGAGATCGTTTATGTAGTTGGAGTATCGTGACATCTCTTGACGACGCCTGAAATTGAACGCTCGAACGATTTCAGTGAATATTCTATTAAAATATCGTTGACCAGAACGAGTAGATGAATTAGAGTATATAGGCTATCAAACAGAGGGGCCGTGAAGAAAAAAAAAACCTGCCCGTTCTCATCATTTGGTTGAGAGGTTTCCTCTTTTTTTTATTAAAGAAAACACGTTAAGGATGAAAAAAAGATTGTTTAAAAAGAAAAATGTAAATCTGGATGGGTTAATTACTTTTTAACGCTTCAACTGTCGAGAGCGTCGCCGCTGGCTATAAATTTATTTTTTCTTTTTTAATCATACACATATGTTAATGTTACAAGCCGTCAGCTATTGGACGGTGAAAATTTAACGGTGGTTCATACAACATTTCGTAATTGTTATTCACCCGAAACGGAAACCAAATCGTGTGGAAAAAAGATTAAAAAGACCTCCCTTTTCTTTTTCCTTCTCTTTTTTCCCTCCACCTCTTTTACTGACTTTGATTGAAGTCTTACGCATAATTTTTTACCTTGAATCATTTGACTGAAATTATAGAGGCTATCAGTAGCGGTCTTTGATCTTTTCGTCAATCAGTTCTTGTTAATCTTGATGAAACTGACGTAAATTACTAGGAGAACGGTATAGCTAAGATGAGAAAAGAACAAACTCTTTAATTTTTTATCTTTAAGATTCAGATTCTATCTTTATTAATTAAACTAAAAGATTAAAACTTTTTTCTTGTATTTTCTTTTACAGGAGACGTTTCTCTTCGTTCTTCTCGTCGAAATGTTCCTTAAAGGGTTCTAAAATGGTTTAGTTGATTGACTGATTTCACCTTGACCATATACTCTTTTCTAACTGGAATTGTTTTACACTTTTTTACTTTGTTAAAGATTGCTTTTGAAAATGCCTACAACCATTTTCAAATTGCTATTAAACAATTTATTCGTTTGTCATTATCATCAACATCAACATCATCATCATCATCATCAGTTCATCTCACTCTTTTTCTTCTTCTTCCTCTCCTTCTTCTACTGACGATATACTAGCCAGTATTTCAACAAGATCTCTTTTTTATACTATATTTTAGTCTTTAGTATACATTTATATATTTTTATGATTTTTCTTAAAATCTCGTGTTGCTACCTACCTAACTTACACAAAATTTCGTTTTGTTCGAATAGATGTTTAGATTTCTCTTTCTCTTTTTCTTCCTTTTTCTGCTTTCTTTCTCTTTCTTATTATTTCCTATACTTCTTCATAACGAAGTAAATGGATAACAATAAGAGATAGATAGATGGATTGATAGAGACAGAGAGAGAGAGAGAGAGAGAGAGATTGCTGTTCAATTAGTGAGAGAAATAACCTTTCTTTATTTTTTTAACCAGTTTTTATTTTTCAATACTATTATCATTTTTAAATTATTATAAAATTATAATACATTAAATAACAACTGTTACAGATTGTATTGTATACTTTGTATATTCTTTTTATGACCTTTATTAATCTTCTCCCTCCTTCCCCTCCTCCTCTTCATGAGCTATACTGTCATTTTCTCTTCTTTTTTTTTATTCTTTCCTCTTTTTTATCGACTCTACGAGCTATTCATCATTTTATCAATGGAACATAAAAAAAAGTGAAATACCTTAGGTATTGAAGACCACCTGTCATCCAACTACATTCTCGGTACTCGCCCATCAAAACTTCTCCCATTCACACACATTACAGACGTAGACATAGACACACAAACACGTAAAATGTAACAATTATTTAATTCTTAGCTAAAGATAATTATCGCTTCAATTATTTACAAAAGAAAATTCACTTTTCGTAAAGAATATTTCCTTTCTTTCTGCATTCTCTGCAACGTGGAAAAACGTTTTCAGGATATAAAATCCCTTCTATAAACAAGTTGCAAATTTAACAAATCCGATTTTCTCCATTTGAAAAATGGTCAACTAGTTGACCTTTTACTTAAAATACGAGGATTACCGGACAATGACACGTACATTACGACTAAAAGTTTGCTGAAAGACATTAGACGATTATTAGATTATCGTGATACCTTTGTTTGCAAAATGGATAGAGTTTTTAATGGAAAAGCTATTATTCCCATAGAAAAATTACTTAAGGTAAACTCTTTTATTAAAAAGAAAACAACAAAAAAACTCTTCTGTCGTATTAATTAACCTAAAAGGGTAACGCCACTCCACAGATGCTTAAAAACGGAAGATTTAAGCCGTTTAAGTTTTCGGACCAAATAAGTCTCAACAACTCGGATTGTTTAGCGTTACTAAAAGCAAACAGATATACACATATGTACACAATCATAAACACACACACACACACACACACACACAAACGCACGCACTCTCTCTCTTATATTCTATTATTAGCCTCTGAGACTACTTTTGCATTTACATGTCCGCCGAAATGCGTCTTATCCGCACAACTCAGCTTTTAGAGTTGCGTAACGACAGAGAGGCGAGAAGACAGACAGAAAGATAGAGAAAATAGAAACTTTTATTCTGTTGGCCACAGATGCCGCCACTAGACGACAGATAAACAACTGTATATGAAAGTTTCTTTTTGAGTTGCTACTAAGGGTTTATGATTTCGAATTGGATGGTTTAAATTAGAAAGCGTTGGGTATAATTAATAGACAGGTAACAGTAAACGTATCGGTACAAGCAGATAATTGATGGGAGGACGAGCGTTGATTTCGTAGGTATCGAAAGATGGCTTAGTTAGATAAGACGAGCAATAACAATTAAATAGATGTTATCAATTACGGATGAAATGAACCAAATAAAAGGCGAATGTGTTACATTTACTTTTAAATTAATAGCGAATACGTCCAAACGTATTCAATCAGGCGTCGAATCGCGAGAGTAACAACTCGGGGTGAGCCCCCAAGGGAAGAGGAATAATAAGAGTAAGAAAGAGAAGATAAGGAAATATTTTTAGTAGTAATAGCAGTAATAGTCGTAATAATAAAAGCAAATTGAAATTGAGAGAATTCATCAACTGTTTCTTTATACAGAAGATAATAGATTTAAATTTAATAATTTATTCTATAGTAATAATTAAATGGATAATTTATCACATAGTCTGCATGAACATATAGAATAGTGAATATATGAATAAATATATTCATATTCATAACTATCTATACATAAAAAAAATGTTTGCTGGTTTTAAACTTTCCTTTTGCCTTTTATTGTAAACAGAAAAAGACAAAAGTCTTTGCATTTTTAGCTGCATTTCTTTTTTGGAAATTATTTGCTTACGTATATGAATGTATGTATGTCTGTTTGTAGGTAGGTATGTTGGATTGTATGCATTCATTTATAAATTATATCTATTCTTTGTATGAACGTATCCATGCTTGGTTTGGAATATGTTGAGAAAACGACGACATTTGGTAAATAAACTAAGGATAAAAGTGAAAATAGCATCGTCATAAAAATTTTCATAGAAAGGCTTCATGATAAGATTAAAATATATCTGGACAATTAGTCCAATCCCTCTTCCAGTAACTCTGATCAAAAATCCATTCATTCTGTCCGGTGGCAGGATGTTTATCAAGTTTAAACCATCTGAAAGGAATAGCATATATTAATATTTACGATATATATGTAATTAGTCTAAAACTAGATGATTTAACAGAGAGATCATAATAGAACGAATAAAAACATCAACAGTCTAGTATCGAGTGTAGAAATATAGACGAATATAACTATTCGATGCTCTTATGCGGGGTGGAAATCTAAATAAGGGAATAGATCGTTTATTACTTGTTTTCAAGTAGGTGGATATGAAAATAAAGAAGAAGAAGAAAACAAGTAGAACAAACAAACACATTGGTGACAAAGAGAAAATTCAAAATATGATGATTGAATGTGCAATCACAATTTCTTTCTCTATCTTTCTTTCTCTCATTCTATTCTACATAATTTATTCGTTTACTAATTGTTTAAAGGCTTAATTAACTAGTATCTTCTCACTCTTTATTACCTTTCTCCTCTTATTTTACTAAAAAAATGTTTATAGATATCCTTAATAGTTTTCTTATAAAAGGTATTAAGTATATGTATACTCATATATAATCATATGTATGTATACAAACTATTCAAGTTAGTAAAAAGTAATAAATTACCGTTGACACCAGTCGTTCTTATCTTTTTTTCTATGTCTTCTCGACTCTCTCTGCTTCTCTTCGACTCTGTGCTTTTCTTCGCCAGCGCCATCTATCGGATAAATTCGATTATTATAATCAAAACAAAATGAAATACTCTTATATTTTTTATGTTGACACATAAAAAGTGTTATTTTTTGCATTTTTTTAACGCTTAACATAGTTAATTAGCCAATTAATAGGTTAATTAGTCAACTAAAGTTAATACTAACCAACATCTCCCTCTTCCAATTTCCTAATATCTGGCCTTAGTCTGGAGTCAGTAGGCGGCAAAGATTTAAAACCTTCTCCCATTTCATTAAGAGTAATAGCAAAATTTGAAAAATTGTAATACTGCAATAAAGAGAGAAAAATAAAAAAATGAGTATAAGAATAGCAAGTCGAGTTAATTCGATTCGATTAGTAAATAGAAGAGTGCATTCTCCCACCTTTAGAGATATATTGACTTTTTGTACGCACTCTTTTAAAACACTACTTAAAAAAAACAATATTGTCTAATAAGCATATTTCTCACTTCCAAATAATTAATTCTATCAATTTCCCTGAACGTCATTTAATTAAAAATAAGAAAGAAAGAAGAATATTTGTTTACTTCATGACTTTGATCAGATCTTTTGTTCGCCGACCATAGAAGACGTTGATTTGGTAGTTGATTTTGCAAGGCGTCTTCATACTTAATATTATCCATCTGTAGTCGATAAAATAAACACATTTTTTAATGTTTTCGTTAAACCGAATAAAAGACATTGATGACTCTGAACGAAAGATAGATAAACAACTTAAGTTTATCTTCTTTGCTCACTGTCCATCATTCGTATTTCTATTAGAATGATTAATGTCAACTGCCTAAAACAGGGACGACTCTTCAACAATCGAAATTAATTACAAGTTGAAATTTTCACTTGAAAAGACAACGAAAAGGAAGAATTATAGAAATAATATAGTTTAAACGGATTAATTGATTGATTAATTAATCAATTCGTTAACCTCGTTGATTCATTGACCGATTAATTTGTTAAATACGTAAAATTTCCTTCTATTAAAAAGGAAATTTGATAATTATCTTCGTTCGCCGATATACAATATGATAAAGGACTTTCTTATAAATTCTGAATATGGTCAACGTGTATTTCTTATTAGTTCTAATACGGCTGTTATCTTGATCATTCGAGATAGCGAAAACTTGGTTAGTCTTATTGAAGCTATTAGAAAATAGGTACAAGAACTACTGGAAATATACAGTTAATTACGATAGTGACCTCCTATATCTTATAACATCTTTTTCAATTGAAGGGTTAGAGAGTTGTCTGCCTATGATATTAATATTTAATCATATTCTAAAAATATATAGTATACTCTAGAAATAGTTGTTATTGCAATCTATACTTTTAAGGTCACAACTAGCAAAAATACTCTTATAAATCTAATTTCTTGTTTGTGTTTTACTTACATTTGCAGTGACATCATAACTATATAGGTTATCTATCCATCGTCCGATGAAATATTTCATCTTTTCTTTATCTTCACTCAGAACGTATCCATCAACCTCGTGTTGTCTGTGGCTCCTCCAACCGCAAGAGTGAAAATTCAGAATAGTCTCCCATCCCGTTTGGATACATTTTATATCCATTTTACCGTAGTGTTCAATCCACATTTTTCCAATGATTATGTTATGAATAGAACAGACGACATTGCTCCAAGTGTATGTTTCGTTCCATTTTTTCAAGTGAAGAATTACATTCCCCTTTGGAGTAATTTCCACACTCTTTCCCCAAAATTTCATTTTTGGGTGAATAGAACCGCAAAACGAGTAATTTTCGGATTCGGCGTGAAACGCAGATACAGGGGGATGATGGGAAACTTGCTCGGCAGTGAGGCGAACACCAGGTCTAACTAACTCGTAGGTTTCTCCTAATAGAGGATTGAACGGTTTTGCTAAACGTTCGTGATTAGACGATAGGGCAGAAACGGCAAATGCGGCCACATACTGTAATAATAAGCATTCAAATAAAAAATAGGGTCTATAAGGCGAATTATAATAAAAAGAAATTTAATACAATATTGTCCTTGGCACATGTGTTTCGCCTTTAAAAGGGTTTGAACTTGATCCTATTTAAAGAACGAGTTCAAAATTGTGTAAAGTGAGTGATAAGATAAATGCTAAGCAGATCGGTTTTTACAGCAGGAAAAATTAGTCATGAGAGATCAGAAACAATTTTCTTTCCACTAATAAAACATTCGTATTTGCAAATTTTGTTAAATTCTAATAGTTTACCTTCCGTCAATTCTTTCGCTTCTACAATCATACATTTGCGCAATGTTCTTCTATTCATCCGTCCGCCCTTCCACCCTCCATCCCCCCTCCCCCCTCCCCCTGCATTTATAATATATATTTTCTTATTCATTCTCACTATCTATTTACCTGCTAATCTAAAAACTATACTTATTCTATCTATTAATAATTATCTCTTCCTCTTCTTTCGTATATCTCTCAAACATTTACTCATTCGCTCCTTTTAACACTTACACTCGTGAGTTCTTTTTACAGTCTCGCCACAAAATCAATACAATCTAATGATTATGAGTATTATAAAAGTCTAATTTATATCGATTATAATTCCTGGTAAGTCCATGTAACGCTGTTGTATATACACCTAGGAGAAGACAACTACAAAGGGAAGAGAAGAAAGACTTAACCTCCATTCTACTGGTTGGATCGGGACTTTCATTAGCTTTGGTTAAAAGATCCGAATATTCCATATATTCAGTTATTCGCTGCAAGAAACTCAGAGGTTCATTAAAGACGATTGGCATCGTAATTTTGGACAATTCTTTTCCAATGCATTGCTTTAGTATACTCCAAACGCTGAATTCGCTTCTGGAGAACATTTTCACTGGAAGTCGGGTTCTATAGAAAGAGAAACAAACAATTATATATTGAATATGAATAAATAGGAAATAGAGAAGAGAAGAAAATTGAATATTTGTTCAACAAGCATTGTTTTATGAGAGAGAGCTTTATAAAATTGAAAGAGAAATTATCATAGTTATTTCAACATATGTTTCTATCTGACTAGAATAACATTTGTATCGCCTTTTTTTTTCTCTCTCTTTGTAAATTTATACAATAATAAAAAAAATCCGTACAACAGATGACATGAAAAAGTCGAAAATATAAATAAAAAGCAGAACTTTCATTCTAATTCATAATCAATCAAATGTTATTTTCTCTCTCTTTGGTATTAAAAAGGATAAAAGAAAAACTAAATGAAACAGAAGGTATTGAAATGTGCATTTATAGGGAATGCTTCCTCTGCCGATCTTTTACGCAATTAAAATATGGTTCAACAACTTTATTTGTAAAGAGGAATATATACAACTCGCTAAACGATGAGGTGTTTTAGAGAGAGAGAGAGAGAGAGAGAGGAGGCGGGGGTGGGGAGAAAGGAAGGGGGCATAGCAAAAAAGGCAAAAAAAAAAATTGTTAAAAAACTTTATCATAAAAATCACGTGACGATAATTTAATCATAATATTTTTGACTCCAAAAGTCAAGGATTCGTTAATAATTTAGAAAAGAAAGAAAGAATTCGTTTAAATAAATAATTATACTTGAATAATTACTTATTTAACGATATTTTAATGTATAAATGAATAATAATTATGTTCTAATATTAGAGAAGAATAGATTAGATATATTGAAATTGGCGTAAACATAAAAATTGCCCCTTTTTCAATCCATCAATCTCAAGCTTGTGCTTTTAAAAGCATACTGTATATAATTGATTGTATTAATTTTCAATATCCATCGTCTCCCATTACCCCGTTTTCTCTGATTCCGTCAGCTTAATTGTCATTAGTAGTGTGCGATAATTGCGTTATAAAATATATTTTGTTGTTTTTCTACTTAAAAAAAACAACGACGTCTAATTTGTTAAGAAAACAAGATAGTATGTTGTAATAGAGTTTTTGCTATAAAGCCATTTAGTCTGTTAACTGTGTTGTTTTTGACATTCCTATTAAAAGGATATTCATTTATAGATGTATATAAGTTAATTGAAAAGGTCAATGTCGAAATAATACATTGTACTAATGATTTACGGTTGATTAAACAATAATTTCAGTGCTCACCTGTGGCTATTATATCCTGCCTTTGGCAAACTACTATTTCTTGAGTGCTGTCGAGAATGATTTCCTTTTTTGGGAGACGCTTCGCATTCGTAGAATTCATCTTCGTCCGAATCGATGGATTTCTTTTCTTGGGTACTCATATTCCTGCCTGAAATATTTTGTTCAAAAAATAGGATTTTAATTGAATTTTCTCCAGCAGATAAACAATAACAAATGAAGTAATTCCCTCAATTCAGCCTATCATATCCCGTTTGTTCACAGATAAGGTTATCTGATAATGTTAGTTGTTTTATGAGGATACGTTCACCTTTCGGCGTTATTAAAAAATACTTTCATTTTTAATTTATTAGCTGCTTTTCTCTTTTTTCTTTACATTTCTATTTATTGATAATCTTTCAGGGAAAACTTTATTTATATATGTAAATCGATCGTTTTCTTTTGCGTTTCCCTATTATTAAATTCTAGTCGAATTTAATGCTCTGCTTATAAATATAGTAGAAGTTTACTGAGAAAATGATAAGATAGAAACACAGAGAGAAAGAGAAAGAAAGAGAGGGAATCAAGAGGCAGATAGAGAAAATATACTTACATATATATATATATAATGTATATAATATATATATATATATATATATATATATTTATATATATATATATATATATATATATTTATATATATATATATATATATATATTTATATATATATATAGATTTGAGAACTCACTTTAAATATTTTCCTTCTCCAGAGTTCGCCAATCGATAACAGTCTCAAAAATCTGATTTTGATAAGCAACTTGTACTAGTTAAAATCAAAACGGACAACGAGTAGCTCTTCTCCCGTACTTTGTACAGTTAATTAGTGGCCTATCTACGACAAATATTTCGCCATATTTATCTCCGTTAGGGATTGAATCGTAAACGATATATACACTAGGCCTAAAAGTTCACCTTGGCGGGAAATTTAATTTAGTGATGCAATTTATCCCTCTTAACTAAACAAAAGATAATTGAATAAAATACATTTAATAGAATAAGTCTGTTTTTGCGTTCGTAATAAATTAATATACTAATATATTTTCGTTTAGAGAAAATACAGAAAGAAGCTTGGTAAAAGAAAAAGAAAAAGAGAACAGTATGCTACGTTGGAAAGATGAATAGCGCCATCTATTATACAAAACGTTTATTTTATATGTAAATTTATATACCTGTGTGAATAAATAAATAAATAAATAAATAAATATATATATATATATACACGTATATACTTATACAGCTATATATACGTAGATTAAAACATCTACGAATACAGATTGTACATATCCTTTGATTCCAACTGAACTATGAGAATTAAGAAGTTGTTATGAATGTACCTGCGGAAGATATATACATATATAAACAAGTCTTACTATATCCTTCACTAACAGTAATTTACAACCGCCTTTGTACTTAGAAATATATATATTAAAAAAATAAACGGAAAATTACGAGGGCGATAATAAGAAGAAATATGGATGAAACAGGGAAACTAGATTTGAATGGTGATTTAATGATAGGAATACATATATTATTCTTTTCATCTGCCGTTTGTATAAATAAAGTATGTTGATAAATTAGATTAATGTAATAAGAATAATTAAGATTAATTTAAAAGATATATATATATATATATATATACTGTATACGTTTCTACTCCACAGTACGTTCTTGCTGACTTGAAATTTCAATATCCAACAATATTCCAGGGGTAAATAGGGTTATTTTACATTTTATATTATATAATACACCTAGATAAAAATACACGCAAGTTTAGCATATTAGATTATTATAACCAGAAACAATCTGATTAGTCACGGGAGCGTTTGTGATAAAGCACGACATATTTTATATATATACTGTATATATATATATATATATATATATATATAAATACAGTGTATATATACATATTATTATTAAATAGTTCATAGATATACTGTATATAAAGTTACTTTTAAATAACAATCCCATTCCTTTACTTGTTTACATAGATATAAGCATGCATACTCTCTCTCTCTCTCTCTCTCTTTCTCTCTCTAAATTGATGATATTTTGTTATAGGTGGCAAAATGCTTTTGGCCTATTGGCACTGCTCATCTTTAAACAAATGAGATGTATAGATTTGAGAATACCTTCTAGTAATGAAATAGCTAAACAACTGCCATGTATGATTTCCTACGCTATCGGAGCTTATTCGGGGTCGGTTACTCTTTCTAAATTGCCAGTTCCTATCCTACTCAGTGGAATAAATATTTTACAAACAGTTGATGCAATTAAACTACTAATCAGCGATAAATATATTCCATTCTGGAAATATACCGCTTTAATGATGGCATTAGTGTCTTTTATAGGGGGACTCTTACTGTTTAAACCGGAAAAGAGTGCTATTGTGTGGCTTATCATCTTCCTAATCTCAATGGGCTTTTACTCATTTTTTTCTAAAAGTAACGAATCTATAGCCAACAATGATAAAATGTTGGTAAATTACATTTATACAGTTCTTATGATGGCTCCCTGTAGTATTCTCTTAGGGGACTTGAACACAGTTCCAAATTTTCAGTGGTTAAATTCTTATTTATTTTTTGCATTATGTTTTATAAGCGGCATTTTGGGTTTTGGCAGTTTATTAACACTTAATATCATTAAAGAAAATGTGGAGAATAGTCATATTATCACTCCTGTGGAAAATGCTCTATGCGCCGCAATTTCTTTACTCTTTTTTCAATTCCAGCTGACTGAGAGACCAATTTTATTTGTGTTTTGTTTAATAGTTAACTATCTGTCATCAATATTTGCCTCTTAATAAAGCTAGTACATTAATTTGTCGTGTTGATACATTGATTCATACACTACTGACGCAACAAGAGCAAACTAGGTCAAGTGTTATTAAATGCTTTACTATATTATTTCTGATGTACATTTGTCTCGTCCTTTTTCTATTAATCTTCATTTTATCTCTCTCTCTCTCTAGGTTCTACTGATCTCTTAGTACCCATAGTCTTACGCCTATGGTTTCTGCAAGTTTTAAAATACATTCTCACATAAAAAAGTGACTGTCGTCCTTAAGAAAAGATTAATTCTTTATTTTTAGGGCAAGGCCATCGTTCTCTATCGTGTCTGCTATTATTCAATTCTATTGACAATTCAAAAATTCGTGATCATATAATACTTTAATCATATGGTAAATGGAATCAATATACCTTAACTTTTAATAACGAAACACTGTCTGTAAGAGTATTTATACAATTCAACAGTTTACTAATTGGTGTTCAGCTATGAATATAGATGTAACTAGCGTAGACTTTTATAGGAAAAAGTCAAAGCAATAGTCTCTATGGCATAGTTTATAACATTTTTTTCTTTGTTTTTATTATTTTTATCATTGTACAGACAAAATATTTTACATACAGTATTACATTAATATTATATATATATATATATATGCATGTTTGTATGTTATGCATATATTCATAAATATTAACGCATATATACAAATACAAACACATATCTATTTACATATAATATTAGTAAATAGTTGTTTTCGTACGGGCACGTAAAAGCACAACATTTGACTTGGAGGGGAACAGTTGTAAATAAGAGATTTTTAATTTGTTGCTTTTTAAAATACTATCTGAAAAAGGATTGATTGACTTAAAATACTGCAATTTTATCTCTTGGCGTGTTGCAGAGGTCGTCATCGAGAGTAAGCAAAACCTATAAGAAGTAAAGAAAATCAGTACTCTCCTAAAAGCTCCCCTTAATAATTCTACGATTTATACAGTATATATACAGTATAGCTGAGTAGTTATTATATATACGATGTGTGCCATTAACCTACCATAAAAGAGAAAAATAAGCTCATTGAACTGAAAAAATGCCAGATGTCGTGTGAATCGTAAAAGTTAAATAAAATACATTTATCGTTATATCTTCTGGAGAGAGATGGAGTTGTCTGTTTGAATAGTTGAAAATATTCTATAGGGTTAAAATTCTATTCCATTTTCTCATTAACTTACATGCCAATCCGTTAGGTTTGTTAAAAAGAATTTAAATGAAAACGCCCAAAGGATCGACGCTATAATTGTAAATATTAAAGGTAGCGGTCTAATTCTTTCTTTCGAACGTAACTGAAATAGAAGAAAGTAGTAAATATTCATTTTTCCTTAAATTCTATACAAACTTTCATAATAATGTAAAATGCAAAGTACAATAGAAGATTTATTATAAATATGGCCAAAAGCCATAGAGCAAATGCAGCTGGTTCCATAATCATTCCATAGATGGCACTTGATTATATTAAAAGTTTGTTATTAATCTTTATCAAGTATTTATATTTGGGTATTTGTAAACCCTTATTGTTTTTTTTCAATTAAAACTTACAGGCCTATATTAATGGAATTCACCAAAGACAGAAGAATAAATCTATCCAAGTAGGTTGGTCTTGAACAGGTCAAAATATCTGTTCTGAAGAGGAAATACAAGCGTTTGAAGACGCTCAAATCTGAATAACAAAGCGACGGTTGTTTGATTAATAATTTCATGGACGACGTCTTTGAATAGTACAAACCTAGTTTCCAGCGTCCCATATAATAAATATGAACGCTAAACATAAAAACGACAAAAATATGAACAAAAGATACAATTATCCAGAATGCTTTAGTGCTCCTAACGACGCCAACAACGGAAAGGAAGATGACGCAAGCCAGAATAAAATAAGCCGTATGGGAATGAGCATTAATATCCGGATGACGAATCTGATAAATTTTCAGCATAAGAAGCCAAGCAATCATGTACATGAAAGCAGTATCTAAAGGATAAGAACAAGGAAAGAAAATTAAAAAGAGACAGGCGTTTCTTTTTTGTTTTAAGAATTTAACAAACCAAATTGAAAGTTGTTATAACTCGGGCAAACGTGATAGCAACCGCTTAATATTCCTTCCATTATAAGAGCATATCCCATAGCGTAAAATAAACCAAAATGTTGTGGAATACCATATTTCTTAAATTGGAAAAATACAAAAGAATGTTCATTATGTTAGTTTGCATTTATAGCATTAGATATACTGTTTATTAGTATATATATACACTTTATATAGTAAATATCCTACAATAGACGCTTGTTCTTAGGTTAAACCTTGATTACTGAAAAGCTCTTGGCGCTTACAGCAACTTTTTTTTTTTTAACCTAATCTCACGTTTCGTGGGAGTTCATACCCTGCCAAGCTGTTAATATGGTCCATTCTAGTTTATATTAGAATATTTACAATGTATACTAGCCATATTCAATAGCGATATCTTCAAAATATATGCTAACTTTTCTAAAACAATTATATAGCTAATATATTTGTGACACATGAGGAATAATTGATTTACTTTGGCTAAACAGTCGTCAAAGTTCAAACACCTCGGCGATTTCTACTGTATTACTCTATTGGGATTTGCAAAATGGCGAGTAATATTAATTCCCGTTAAACATACATGCAGTATGCATATCCTGTATACTTGTATAAACAATATACTAATATATATTCCTTACCATTTCTAGCGACGGATTAAAAATAACTGTCTGTCTGTAAATCATCTCCCTGGTGAAAAGGTAAATATTAACAGAGTTAATGTTTTTAAAAGAATAGACATCAAGATTATTTTACCTCCTGAATACCAATATAAGGAAAAGTACTCCCAACATGACGTAGCCGATATTACTATAAAATGAATAAAAGTTTACTAAGTTGTTTGTCTTGTTTGTCTTGTATCTTTTATGTAGATATAATTCACCTGAAGACGTTATTAAAAGCTGTTAATTGGCCAAGAGGCATTGCGCAATAAAAGTTGTAATAGCAGAGATCTTCGTTGCCAGTTTTATTGAGAACTTTTTGATAAGTAAATACTAATTGAATAACTGGAAGGCAGTAAAATACGCTTATAGTCAACAAGTTCCATAGGTAAAGTCGGTATTTCTTTGACAATCTTTTCGAATTTTTACGTGACAAATCCGATACGTGTAAAACTGTCTGTTTATTGAATAGAGGAAAGTTTGAATTACAAATAATTTATATATATATATATATATATACAGTATATATGTCTAATGTGATTTATGAATGAAAAAATTTGAATGACAGTCCTACATAACAGCAACTTCTATATTTCTGCATATCAATATGAGAAAATATAGACGTTAATGTTCATTATTACTATTATTTTGAATAATAATAATAGTAATAAATAAATGAATGAATGAATGAATGAATAAAGCAATTCGTGCATATTGTTTTAAAATTATAGTAAAATCTACACTACTTTACAACAATTACGAAGCTATGTGAATGACAATGCACTATCAATCCGTTCAAAATCTAACGCTATATTCTAATTCAGTACACAAGGATACGGGGACAGATAATGAATATTAATATATATATATATATATATAAATTAATATATATATGCATTTATATGCACATTTCTATAAAAAATTGACTAAGAATGAACTTTAATCTATGCATTTTTGATGATAAAAGTATCAAGTCCCTTATTTTATAATTAAAAAAATAAAGAAAAATAAGGACTTTGAAATCACGTGATGATAAGAAAATAACATATGAGATAATTATTAAGTAATTTAGTTTTTTACTCTTTGGGCGGACTGCTCCTTTTTTTTTTATTATTTTTAATGGATTACACCAATTTTTGTATCTTTAACTTTAAGCCATAAAGATAAGGAGAAGAAAAAGAAAAAAAATTAAAAAAAAAAGAAATTAGATAAGATTTTTAAACATTCTAATAATAACTATAATAATACAGTATATAGTTATGTATACATATAAATACATATATATATATACAGTATATATATATTTATACTGTATATCTATACTGTATATATACTAATATATAGATAAAACAGGGTTCTTTAAACGACAATGAAAAGTAAATAAAGTTAAAACAAAGTTTATTAACTGATTTGTTCACCTGAGAGTCGCCTAATTCGTCCTTGATAACAATGCAAACATTTTTAAATATTGTTCTAAATATGATTTATAAGCAAAAGCTAAAACTATCCTTTTTTTGTTTAATAATTCTATAAATACCTTTGAGCGGAAAACGTTCTTGTCGCTCTCCGCATCGTTTAACGTATCAAAATCGTCTTCGTTTAAGGATGAATCCGATGATTGACGTCGAATTACGTGTGGGATACCAGTTGATTGTGGTGCATCTTTTCATAATTTCAAATTTGATTGAGTTGGATGAATAGCAAAATTTTATTATTTAATTATACCGGTTGTTGCTCCATATCCGTCCATTTGTCCCTCAGAAGCAACAATTGGAGATCTCATTCCATCTATAAAGTTATACGAATAGAGTATTTAATAATGACGAAACTTGTAAACTTGTTCACCGTTAACCAAAATAATCAAAAAATAAGGAATGAAACTAAACCATTCCGCCAGCAGAACAAAGAAGGAACAATGGCCTATTGCATAAGAGAAGCTAGAAGACGCTATTTGATATTCTATCATTCTATAACTATGATAAATATATACAACTGTATAGCTTAAAATGAAAAGAAGAATAACTATTATTAAAGTTATATTGCGCTATGATTAATTAGAATCCCATCACCAAAAATGTAATAACAACCTTTCTATAGTTTGTTGTAATTTCTTTTTGGAATAAAATTAATTTTAGAATAACAGCAAATTTAAGAAAGAATAAAGGTAATTTATTCCGCTTTATCGCTTTTTTGTCTTTTGGCGAGAGAGAGAGCGAGAGAGAGAGAGAGAGCAAAAAAAAAAGAAAGAGGCCTATTTACTCTTCCTTTACTTAAATTTATATTTTGCCGTTTGACAATTTTACCTAGAAGACTTTCATTTTCACTGTCGTCTGCAAATATGCATCTTTTAATTATCGTATGAATATTCATAGGATAATAATTATGCAAAAAATACATTAGCGTCTGCTAAAATTATCCTATCCTTTATTATAAGAACTTTACATAGAGTATTTAATAGAAAAGTTTAAAGATGAACTTACCATTTCTTTCAGTAACGAGAGGCTGAGAGACGTTCTTCTTAAATCTATTCCAAGTCAATCTAATTAATTATAAGTCGACAATACAATTAAGGAAATAGTGTACATACGTAAAATAACAAATGCAACATATGACCATGGCAACGATGTAAAAGAGCAGAAACCAGGCTATAGCGAACAGTATAGGTTCCCAATATTTGCTTTCTTCAAAAGATATAACAAGTTAAATTACTTAGTTAAAAGGAAAAAGAGAAGAAGATAAAGGGAGAGAATTAATGAGAGGCATGCGGAATATGGGCTGCATATAATACTTAAATATATAATTAGATGTGTAAGAAAAAAAGAATTGATTTACTTGGTAGAGCACTCTTGACCGTAAAACTGATGAATTTCTTCGTATTATTACCAGGATGTTTTTCGACAGCTTTCGTACAATCAGACTTTGTAAGACTTGCTACAAAAACCAAGAAGAAACCTCCGGGAAATGCCTTTTTCTGTAGGAATTTTTCGTTATTTTTTTTTTAATTCAGAATAAATCAAGTTTATTTAGGTGACAAGAAACAGAAAAAGTAGTATATTCGTATTGCTTACGGCTATAGTCATTCCAGCTTTATTCTGTACTGTTTGATAGATGCCTGTATATTCGATATTTCTCGTTAAATCAAAGACCGGGCACTATAGGATTCAGTGATAAAGGATACGTTAATAATACTTCCGAAGGTAATTAAAGCTTCAATACATATACAATAAACAAGAGCTGAATCGTCTACCTTTCTATCCTGAACGGATACGTGCATACAGAGATCGTCCGGACTTTCTATTGTTATAAGAACACTATCCTCTTTACCAAATGAATACATGAAATATTCGGGAGTGGATGGAGATATAGTTGTATTCATCATTTGTCCTTTCCTTATCACGAGCAGAAGAAGAAGCAGAAGAGGAAAGAGGAAGAGTACATGAAACAACGAAATAGAGAATGGTTGCACCTCCATTACAATTAAACAAACAAATATACCAACTTTATTTCGAAATCTTTAACTTTCTCCAATTTAATATCAAAGTTCCTTGATGCATTGTAAGTTGATACATCAACGTACAGGGATTGGGTTTGTCCTTTACGGAATTTCGCCTGAAGGGGACAAAGCGTTCTTGAAACACTAACATATAAATAGTTTCCATTTGAACTATTGTTGGCGCTTTGAAAGAGTAATGGAATCTGCCAGGAGAGAACGCCTGAAATAGACAAAATAAGATTAAGACTAAACGAATGTATGTGTATTAACATTTTATAAATTGGAATAATCAACATTATTGTCAAGTGGCGTCGTCGCTTACCAGAGCGCCGTTGCGTCAAATGTAAATAATAAATGAAAAATAATTAGCTTAGAATGTCCTTTACATAGAAAATATATATATAGATATTCAGTTTACAGCATATATTCTTCTATATAATTTATACATTATACATTTCAATATGGAGATATATTAATATACTGTATATAGGGCTATTCATTCAAATTACCTGTTTGCCTTCGAACAATGAATAGTGTAGGGTAAGGTAGACTGGAATCGTTTGAGGTAGTTGTTATTCGGAATACTTGAGTCTAAAGTAATTATTGTTCTTGTTATAGTGAAAGTAAGAACATACAGCATCGATAAATATACATGTTGTATACATATGCATTTCCCCAGCTCTTTTAATTATAAACTCTACTTTTGATACGTATCAGCGATTGAAATTCACTTAGAATTAATTGCATATGTCTTTATACACATACACAGATACTCTTACCTTTTGCGGTGTTTCTGTATACGTATAGATGTAGGTGTAAGAGACATCGCCGTTTACTAGTCCAGTCTCTTTCTTTCCTATTGTCAGGTTCTTGTAGTTAATCAACGACTTTAATCCAGCTGCATTCTTCAACCTCTTTGCGATATTCACCAACTTATTGTTCCTGTTCACATCTTCTATAAAGGATGAACTTTGCTTCCAATCGTCACGTGATCCATATGCTAGGCAATTCAAGGCGATTATGGCAACAAAAGATATGGTTTTCAGCATTCTGCACCAGATTTAAGAGAATAGACAATCAAATTATTGTTTCAATGTTGATTCCTAAGACAAGATGGTTGGGAAGGGGCGTAAAACGATAGCTTATCCATTCGATAATTCATGCAGACGAGACAGGAAGTAGACTGCTAACCACCAATAGATGGCGTTGACGTCTACTATTGGGCAATGACAAAACTGTGCAGCCGGAGTAAAAGTCTTTACATGGTTAGAATAGATAGAAGACAAATCGCGTATGGTGTAATGTATAGAATAAATATTTGATATATTCGAGAACGTAGAGCTGTCGAGAAACTTTTAAAGATTCTACTATTAGTCTATAGAAGAAGAAGCAGGAGAAGAGGAGGATGTTATCGAGAAAACATTACTAAATAATTGAGTTAACGTAATAAAGATCTTTATTGAACAGTATAACACGGACACCACTCTTGTTTAATCTGTTCACTTTCACAAGTTCTATCACTTGGAATGGCCTTGAATAGAGAAATTCCTCTTCCGTTAATATCGGTTTTACCCATACTATCACCAATCTGAGAAATATGTCGAAAAGTTTCATAAATATCGAATCCATTTATTAAATAATTCTCATTTATCTTGAAATTTTCATAAAAATTTCGATGTTCATCCCTGAATTTTTTAGGAAGTGCAATACCCAGAAACGGCTGAATCTCTTCGTAGTTTTTGTCCTTAAGGAATATATGATTCCGTGCAGCCGCATCTCCCACATCAGACATAATGAACACAATTGTACTTCGAAGGCTATTTCTGTTCAATAGCTTCAAAGTGGATAATAATTCTATATCGGAATTTTTTAACTGTTGCATAGAATCTGTTGTTAAAGAGTTCATGTGAAAGAATCTGCGGAGAAACGGAAAATCAAAATACAAACTATCCAACTCAACTCAAAGTAAAGTAAAAACTAACGAAAATGTAGGCACATCCTCGTAGACGTTGTATACATCCGTCAATAGTTTATATAACCTCTTAGTTTCGAATAATTTCGATTCCAAACAGGCTTTTTCGTCCGATAGAAGACCGTCAGTGTTAAAGTCGAAATAATGATCGGCAGTTTTTCCGTATTCTAAGAAAGGTTTTTATAGAAAAAAAAAAACAATTAAAAAAAATATATCATCTTTTTTTTTGACAAGTGGAACAAACTAGAGAATTTCAAAACTTTATCCAACTCAACTGTACTGTGCTTTGCGAACAATGTGACGTAACCAGCTGTCTTAATAGACTCCCAAATATATTCTCCAGTGAAATTAGCATGTTTTGGTATTTCCTTCATTTGTGTATTGGCGAGTAGTGTGAGGAAAGCCTTTAAACGAATATCATTTTAAACATTTGTCCATGTAATAGATACAATTGGTACTTTACCGATGTTTGCGTTCCTTCAGACACGGAATATCCTTTCATAAATCGTCCTTTCATATTCTTAATAAAATATCCATAGGAATTAGGAAAGTTTCTAACAAAACTCGCAAGTGAAAGACCGTGCAAAGATAAAGCAAGAATATTATATTTCTTCTGGGAGTTTGGATGTTTTTTTAATAATCTAGCTAATTTAGCATCATCCCTAATTGGATAGCCAAAAATTCCTACATACTTCTCACCTCTAACCCAACATTTAGCTACATTTAAATCATGTAGTAATTTATAACTAACATCCTCTTCGTTAAAGTTAACTTTAGCTTCCTCAACTTTCTCCTCTTCAGTATTCATTATAGGATTAAATGAACAATCGAATTTAATGTGTTTGTATAGGATATTGCTAACGGCATAAGCCCGTCCATTTTTCATGAAGAGCCAATCAGGATTCTGACACGTATACTCTTTAATTTCTTTCGGACCAACTGAGGATGAAATAGTAGTTTGTAATCGACAAACAGGTCTTGTTAATCGTCTTTTTGTCAGTTCGATCTGGTCTCTCATCATAAATAATAGTACGAATAGCACAAGAATAATAATAAAGGATATATTGCCGTATCGTCTTCTCAATCTTAGTAGCATTTTTTGCAGTTTAAATTTTTCTATCTAACAATAAATAAGGAACCAACTAAGGAGAAAAATCATCCATTATATAATATTTAAATACAAGTAAGCGATAAATTCTTTTTTCCAGCCTTCTTTGGTATTCAATTTTCCAAAGTATAGTGTTCAAGAGAGCTCTGTTCGAACACCAAAAATCAGTATGAAACTTTTGTCAATACTCTCGCAGGCCAGAGTACATTTAACAATTCAGCTGAACTCAATTCTACTTCTATAGCCCCCTTAGCCCCTTTTGCTCACTCCAAAAGTTTATTTTAGCTTTATCTTAGTTTCAAAGAAACCTTGAACTTTCTCTTCATACATCTGCACATTCATTCATTCATTCATTCATTCACTCATTTATTCAGTTTCTCTGCTATTCTGTCTTTTCATTATTTCTTTTTTATTTTATTGATAATAAATAAAGGGAAAATATAAAATGCGTTTTAAAATTAATGCATAATGTGTATATTTTCAATATTATCTTCGCTTTTATCTTCCTATTCTCTTCCCTCTCATTTTATCAATTTTGTTCTCAATTTCTTTTACGGTCTTGTTAACCAGGGATCGAATACTTTATAGTCGGCAGGTGGCGTTCTCATAGTACCATTCGCTCCATCTACGTAAGCGTATCTTGCCCAGTAGAGATGCTCCGGTTCTCTTAGAGGTTTCGCTGGCGTATTCATTGGATCTATATTAGTCGAAGAATAAATCAAATGCATTTGCCTATGGGGAGGATCTCTTCCAGATAATGGAACGTTTGGAGGAGGCAAATGGGACCAACAAGGGGTTTGCCTATGTAAATTTCCGGCTCGTTCGCTTTTTCTAATTGTGGTGGCGGTAAAGTCAGATTCTAATAAACAGGGCATGTGTTGTTCTTGATAGTTTCCTGTACCGATTCTTTCGTTCTTTTCCCCACGTCCCCATCTGCCAATACCGTGCGGATGGACTCGGGGAGTGAACCAATCGTCTGCTTCCGATAAGACACGGCCAGATCGAAGTGGGGCAACATACGTACTCTTTTCCACTTCATCTTTTAGCTTGGCGGCCATGATCCGATACAATTTGTTATGGTTGTTACTAAGGGAAAAAATACGGCGCCATCTGTTTACTAACAATCACTTAATCAGTCCTGTAAATCAATTTGTATCACGTATCCGGATTAGTGCGGAAGTCAGAAGGGAAAGATATGAAGTTTTCAACAGAAAACGCATAAAGAATCCTTGTAAACTAGAAGAAAAAGCAAGAGATTATACAGTTTCACAATAAATGGAGTATGAAAGGGAATGTCAGAATACATATATACAGTATATATATATATGGTAGTGTGTGTGTGTGAAAGAGAGGAGGAAAGAGACTTTTTTCATTTTATAAGATAATTTAAACTCTCCAGTGAGAGAGATCTTTTGATAAAAAAAGAAATATAAATAACATTCTCTTTCTTTCTTTCTATTGCTATTGAATATATAAGTATTAAATAAAACATTGCTTTTATTATTTAAAAGAAACTAGTATTTTCAAAAAAACCTACAAAGAGTTGAGTTAAAATGAAACTAAAAACTGTTGATATTCTTTATAAAATATGAATTTAAGAATCACAATCTACTCTTTAGAAATTCTCAAAGGATTACGATTTCTTACTTGTTCACTGGCGTAACTGTTAGGCAAATTGAAAGAGTTACCTTAGGCAAAGGATAAAAAGTGAAGCTTGTACTTTCTTCAGAGGAATTTTTTTTATCTGTTTTGATATTTACTTGTCCCCTGCACCCACTGATTCTTCTCTTAAATGCAACCTATAAGACAAAGTTATCAGCGTCAAGTGCTTGTTATAGTAATATACACTCTGTTTATTGTAAAACTGTAACTTGTAACAGTACTCCACAGAAAAGACGAAGGGATATAATATGTATATTTCGTATAATTAATGATAGTGAATATTCATAGGATGATAAAAAATGAGTCATTTCATTTGTACTTTTAATTTGTTCAAGGTTAAATATGCTTCAAAGAGCCAATAGAAAAACCAACTGGGACTATATCTTAACAAAGATCTGTACTTTTCCCGTTTAGTTTACAATTTTAACATTAAAGTTAAAAGATTTGGTTTGCAATTAAAAAGATATCCACTTTTAGAAGAGTATCTTCTGTAATTATCACCTTTTTCTTCATTCCCCCCCCCCCTCCCCCAGCAAAGGCCAAATATTTCAAGTTACAAGATATTTTAATTTCCGTTCCTTGCTCCTTTCTGCTTTCTCTGTCCATAATAATTTATTCAAAGTCAAAAGTCGGGACAGAGAGATATAGATAGATAGAAAGAAAAGAAATGATAGATAGAGAGAGAATGTGAAGGATATTAAATTAAGAGAAGCTCGCTAAATACTAATCAAAGTCTTGATTTTTTTTTGGACTTTTGCTTTATTAAACTGAAATGAATTATTAATCTCTCTCTCTCTCTCTCTCTGTCTCTCTTCGGCTCTTTCTTTCCATTCAATTTTACACTATACTCGTTCTTTTTGTCTCCATCTTCCAAGAGCCTAAAAGGAGAACGCTAAATGCTTTATGTTTCTCTTTTCTCCTACTTTCATAATTGCTTATAATATGCTATCAGCTTAAAAGCTTATTAAAGGGCAGTTAATTATTTTACCAATAAGAAGAATTAAAAAAGAAAAAAAGTGTGGCGCCATCTTTATTTAGTGACATGATTTTCTCATGAAAGCAATAATGAAAAAGTATAATTTGTTTAGTCATTGAAAATAAGCAGTTATCTTTTTTTAGTTATTAAAGAACTGCAGTTATAAGCCTATTTAAATTTGGTTATATTTTGGCGAACTTTAAGAAATAACTGGTGGCTGGAAGAAACGTAATTTTCTAAATATGTTCAAAAGCACATGCTCATTCTCATTCTTTATCATTTAGATAATTAAAAAGAATATATAAGTAAAAGATTTTCATAAAGTTTACTTCAGTCAGATTCTTGTTGCAGCTCCAATAAACAACAGCAAAAGAATGAGGTTTCTAGTATTGTGTGCTCTATTTGGTTTGGCTGCAGCTGCCACTACAAAATACGATGGGTAAAGAGATTAAATGATTCAAATATAACCCAAAACATTTTTCGTATAATGCTATATAATGAAAATGCAGTCAACTCCATACTGTATACCGATGTTTTTGTTTTTCCTTTCTATAGTTTCAAAGTCTTAAGAGCATATCCAACAACTCATAAGCAATTAATTAAATTACAAAGATGGGAGCGTTTGGATGAAAGGGTAAATTACTATATTAAATCAATTTTATAGTATTTTATCTATTTAACGATGATCTCATATGATTTTCTTAGTTGGATTTCTGGACCAGTCCCGTAAGAATTGGCAGTCAAGTCGACATTATGGTCAGCAAATCGCTTGTTAGAACCATCAGCTATAAATTGAAAAAGTCGAAAATTCCATTTATAATTGCTGTTGACGATGTTCAAAAGTGAGTTCAAACACCGAATTTCTTTATGGATAATAAAAAAAAATAGGATAAGATAAGAAGAAGAAAAGAGTTTTGATATTTTTCGTATTGTTGATTCTAATTGTTTCTTTTGCAGATTAATTGATGAAAATGGAGGCAATTCGAAAACCGATTCTTCAAGAGTAGACTTTAATGAATACAATAGATTTGACGCGGTATGCCCTTACCATCTTTTCTCTCTTTGCGTCTTTTCTTCAACGTTAGCATTTTCTCTTTCATTCTTTTTTCTTTTTTGTTAGATTAACACTTTTCTCCAAAATACTGCTAACTCATGCAATAATTGCGAGCTACTTGACATTGGAACAAGTTATGAAGGTCGTGAAATGAAAGTCATTAAAATTGGAGCCGGAACTAATAAACCCGGTCTCTTCTTCGAATGCGGCATCCACGCCAGAGAATGGATCTCTCCTGCCGTTTGTATCAACGTCATTAACAAGGTATAAAAGTACAGCAATTTTTTCAGCTAAACATTATAGCTGTTAAATTCTATCGATTTGTATCAATTGCAGTTGGCTACCGAATACGACAGTAACAGCCAAGTAAAGGAAATGTTAGATAGATACGACTGGTTCTTTTCTCCCGTTAGCAACCCTGATGGATACGAATACACCCACACCGATGTAAATATTTTATATACAGATTTCGCATATTGACTTGATTAATATCGAGTAAAAGCAAAATTAAAATGTAACTAAACACAAACTCTATGAAATTCTATCCCATACAGACGAGACTTTGGAGAAAAACCAGAAGCGAAAATTCTGGCAGTAGTTGCAGAGGAGTCGATCCAAACAGAAATTGGGGATATAGATGGGGAGGTAGGAACGTTAGATTTATTGTTGAAATGTTTAAGCCTTCATTTATCAACCCTTTCCTCCTATTCTTGTTTATCTTTCCTGTATATTTTTCACTACAGAATCTGGTTCTAGTACGAATCCCTGCTCTGATATTTTTATGGGTCCAAGCGCTTTTAGTGAAAAGGAAACTGCCAATATTAGAGATTTTGTTTTACAAAGAGCCAGCAGAATAAGAATGTACATGTCCGTACACAGTTTTGGTCAATATTTCCTTATTCCATGGAGCTATGCTACCGAATACCCGGAAGATTTCGATGATTTACAAGAAGCTGGTGACGTTGGAGCCAACGCCCTCCGTGAAGTCCACGGAGTGACCTACACAGTTGGTCACTCTGCAGTTTTATTGGGAGCAACTGCCGGATCTTCTGACGATTGGGCCAAGGGAGGAGCTAACATCAAGTTTGCCTACACGTTGGAGTTGAGAGATAGAGGCTTTTACGGTTTTCTTTTACCAAAAGACCAAATTCAGCCAACTTTCGAAGAAGTATGGGCTGCTTTGTACGCTATGCATAATCACTTTAATACAAATTGGCCAATGTAAACTAGAATCAATTTAATAATAATAAATATGTTTTATTTAATCAAATCACAAATAGATGATTGTTTAATAGATTAATTAATTAAATTAACGGAATTATTATGTTATTGAAAGATTCTTTGACTCAGAAAAAGAGAGAGAGAGAGAGGAAGAGAGGGAGAGATATGGAATGATATATATATATATCATATACAGACACATGAAAGATTACTGTTTTAATAATACTTTATTTTTTCCTGACGCACTGTCCGTTGTTATGGCGATTAAAATATCTAAAAAAAAAGAAAAAGGAAAAGCAGTTTACGTGGTTTGCTAACTATAAATAATTTGCGAATAAGTCTGTCCTCTAATCTCCATTATTCTAAATATACATTACGTATTATTAATTGTTCATACAAAAATTCTGTTGTATAGTTAGGCTAAGGCTGTGCTGCGCATTTACGCTCTTCTTCTTCGAGTACGTTGTTGATGCTATATTTATAAAAATGGAAAAATTTAGTTAGGCGACGTATGGAATAACGATGAAAAGGAATTGGCATTAGCTAGAAAAGATGAATCAAACTACTTTAAAATATCTTTATGCGTGGAAGAAGATTAAAATATAAAAATATATCTTTATTAATATTGGCGATGATCTGTAAAAGCAGCTTCCTTAAATGAATGACTTCAAAACTCCCTTTAGGTGGCGCATAACTAGCGCAAAGTCAACGTCAGCAATTCCCGTTGATTATTAAGGTGTGTATTAATGGAAGAGGGTCATACAAAAAATCTCCTATGTTATATTAATTGGAAAGATCATTTGCATTGATTGGGAAAAGTTTACGAAAATGTTCTTTTAACAATTTTGAACTTGTCTGTTGAAAAGACTCGATCCGAATCAAAGTTGATAGGATTTTTCTCAGGTAAGAAACAAATTAAATTAAATCATTTTCTCTTCTTTTCCTCTCCTTGTTTTTTTTTCTTTCTTCATTAAAAATTAAAAGTTTGCAAAAAGAGAAATTCCAAGTATATCACGTTTCTTTCAATGATACAGATATCTTTTTTAGAAATAGGATACTTTCTCTACTGGAAAACGTTTAGATTTAAGCATCTAGTTAGTTTAGATCGTACGGATAAAGCATAATGCAGTCTATTGTGTAACAACTTTATATTTAGACTATTTATGTATATCTCTATGTTGATGTGTATATAATATAAAGTACATCTTTACTGTGTAAGTTTCTACAAAGTGTGTAGCGAAGACTTTATGCAAATATCTTGAATGTACGACAGAGTTCCAAGATGAAAAACTATTCCTCCACCTCGCTTTTACTCTATCCTTCTTCCTTCTCCCCTCCATCCTCTCTTTCACTTTAATTATCTATTAGTTGCATTCTAAGGTAGCTGTAGAATAATTTAAAACCAAATTACTCTATTTATATTTTCCTTCCCTATTATATCGACCGAAGAAGAGTGACATATTGATGTATCAGAAATGAAGAGGAATATATACTATATATATACAGTATGCTGTATATGTACAAAAACTGTAGATATTTTGAACTCAATCAATAGGAGAGTACTGGAAAATATGCTTTTCCTTTTTTCCGTTTTTATTACCCTTTTCTTAATTAGAATTTTGTCACAATGGTCTGAAGAATTGGATAAATAAGACTTTTAATAAAAAATTGAAAGGAAAAAGTTTCTTTTTGGGAAAAAGATGCATCTTTTCTTTTTGTTTTTTCCTCAATTCCTATTAATTTAGGTAGCTATTTAATAATTTATAATGTAGAATCAATGCAATGCTTACTTTCTTTACTTGTCTTTTTTATTGCAAAGATGGCTTGATGATAATAGAGAAATACTTTAACAAATAGACGCTTGATGATTGTTTAGAGGGGAATAATATTAATATTATTAATACATACATCCATAGAGGCGAAGAAAGGGAAAGGTGAGGGATAAGGTTTCTAGGTTCGCCTTTGCAATGTTCTTCAGGTAAATCGTGAAAATCACTAACCGTTTACCCTTCAAGACTCTTAGATGACGTTTGAAGTATATAAAAACAAATAGAGGGTGTCTAAGTAGATATTATGATTCCATATACTCAGCGAATGAAGTGAATAAAGTTTTCAATATAGTCAAAATATTGCGCTGAAATATTAATTTGCATAATTTATTCAAATTAAAAACTCGATCAAGAAAACAAATGTAATTCCCATTTTACGCTTAATGGCCTAATCAAAAAAACGGTAATCTTCATTTGTTTTCCAACCGTCTCCCCTTACTGTCTTGTCGATTATCTAATGGCAGTCGAAGCGCCTATTAGACGCCTTTTTTAAACGTTTTCCATAAAGTATATTTGTAAGTGGATTAGATAGTAAGGAAAGAATCCTTTCAGGCGAGATTTTATTGTTTTCATTATATAGATTTATTTACAGAAATATTCTTGGAGCAGTAATGGAAAAGGAGAAGACCTTTGGTAGAGTGGTTAGAACAATACAGGTAATAAAATACTCTAGAATTCTATCCTATTGTTTTCGTTTTATCCTTAATCATCTTCGTATTCACTACTACCAGTACTATCTTTAAGATCACTTTATAACTGGATAATTTTACCGTATTTTGCACTTAAAAAATATGAGCTGAAGCGCCATCTCTAGTTTGGAGGTGGAGGATAGGAGGGAGATGGAGTCTAGTAAGGGAGATAGGGAGTGACTGGAAGCGTTTGGCTTAAACTTTTTTTTTCTTTCTTCACTTTATGTTTGTTTTAGAAAGAGTAGTTTTAGAAAAAGTCTTTTGATAAGAAAGGATAATTGTAAGGTGAAGAGTTACCCGGCTATTTAAAAATAAATGATGCTATAAAAACAATATTATGATTGAAATAATTTTCAACACCAAGAAAACTTGAGTATTTCTTACTAATTTTCGGATTATAGTTTTAAATTTCAAAGAAACTATGATAGGCAGGAATAAAAGTAGATAAAATATTTTCATCTGTCCAGAAAGGAACGGGATTAATAAGGACTAGCTTTAAGAAAGAGATGAAGGAAGAAAGTGAGAAAGAGAGAGAAAGAGAGAGAGAGAGAGAGAGAGGGACAGAGAGAGAATGAAAACGTAAAAGTTTGAAATAATAAGAAAACTTAAAATTATAAATGTATGAATCTATTTGCATTTGTCTGTGTTATTTTTATATAAGTTATATAAGAGTTTTAGCATATTGATTAAATTATAACGTCATCACCAGAAGCTGTGCATGTGACATTCCGTAACTAAAGCATCCGACACACACAGACACAAACACACACATGCGTTTATATATTAATTGTTTTATTTATTTTTAATATATGCAAAAGGTAGATATTGTTGATAATTCAGTTATTTAACTCTCGTTACCAAGACGACTAATAGCTAGCCAACACTCTCTTTATACATGCATTATACATGGTAATGAAGCTATATGGCTCTATATATGTACACGGCATGTCAGAGCTAGTCTTTCATGACGTCTAGCGCCACCGAGCACCTGCTATTTCGTAACCATGGAAACTCTCATTTCGCACTGTCTTCTCGGCTTTTCTATCGACCTGCTTTCCATACACCTTGACAAACATGTTATGATAAATTAGGGAGGAGTAGCCTTTAAACCAGTGTATTTTTTTTGATAACTTGGCCACCAATTACAAAGTCAAAGGATAAAGAGAAAAAATATACTTAAATGTCTTCCGTTTTTCGGAAAATTCAGGTTTGTTTTTTAGTGTATCTTTAGTAAAACAAGGAAAGAAAAAAGCCAAAATCTTCGCTTCTCTTTTTCCTATTCAATCGAAGATGAGTGTATACTTTCTAATGAGCATATTCCATTTTCTCTTCGTTGCTTGTTGTTTAACTTTTTTCAATGTAAGATGTTTATAAATATAGTTGATATATTTTATTTATTATTTGGTTTATAATCTCAATCTCTTCTTGACTTTTTCTTCCCTCTCCATCCGCCTCTCCATCTCCCATTCCTCTATCATAGCCTATGATTTCATTATCCCATTAAATTGTTAACTTTTATATCTTCTATATCAAACAAAAGTTGAAATGAGGAGTGAGAGAGAGAGAGAGAGAGAGAGTCCGTGAGAATGAGAGATAAAGAGAAGAAATAAAGACAAGTAGGGAAATAGGAGGAGTATATTGAAAAAAAATTGTGTTGACTGTTTGATTTCGATAAGAACTCGGTTGTTCGCTTCTTATTACAACTAGGAAAAAGGTGAAACCTTATTAAAACCTATTCGAATTAATTCTTTACCTTCTTTTTCTCTTCTTTCTCCATTTTCCCCAGCTGCTCATTTCTCCATTTCCTCGAAAGAGTCAAATTAGATGAATGGTAGGATAAAATAATCTACAATTCGCCGTCCTGAATAGTTGATTTATGTAGTATTAATATACTTTCACTTGTATTTCTCTCTTTTTGCTCATCTTTTAGTTTGTTAATTATGATCTATTCTTTGTCTATGTAGTTGCATAGAGCGAAAAAACCTAATTATGATAATCCCTTTGAAGAATAATAAACAAGTCTTCGATTTGTTTGAAAAGTAATTAGCCTTCGATCTAAAAATACTAATCAAATGATCTAGTTTAATTTAGCGATTGATAAACTCTTTTAAAGAGATTAGAAGATAGTTATGAATGAATGAATGAATGAATGAACGAAACAGAATGAAAAAGAAGAGAGGAAAGAAAGATTTAAAAATTCTATGTTTTTAAAATATGATTTAAGAGTAATTATTTTATCTCCAACCTCTTCTCTTTTTTCCTAATAGCTCATTAGATCATGGGCTTCGAACCGACTACAATCGGGAGAGGTCGTTCAACAGGATTCTTTCCTGGAAAGATTTGCTATGGGTGGAGCCGTCGCTACGGAAAGTGGGTCGGAGGCTGGTGGCGGGGGGTCAGGCAAGAAAAAACCTGGCATATTTAGTTTAAGGTAAGATAAAAGAAAGTAAAAACCAAAAAGACAAACAAGTACTTGATGAAAAAATCAAAAAGATGTATAAACAAGTACGATGATTGACTTAAATGTCGATCATAGGTTGTTTTTTTTATACATAACTGTACAATTTATATTTAGACGCTTAGTCATCTTTTTTGTCAAAGTCGTTTTATAAAGAGACTCTCTTTTGAAATGAAACTATACGAAAAAGTACTAACTGAGTAACAAATGAAAGACCGACATCTAAAGCTCGGCTACCGATTGCAAAAGGTTGATCAACTAATACATTAAGACAATAACCTGTCCTTGAACTTGATTTGATAATTATTTAAGGGGATTGTATGGAATTATCAATCAATATTTCATAACGGTTAACACGGTTAATAAACATACATACTTGAAAATGTTTTACACTCGTACGTCGTATTTTTGTGTCTATATAATGCAATGACTTGTGAATAATCAGACGCTAATTAATTAGCGTATGTAAAGCTTCTCTATAATGATATTAGGGAAAATATATATTTATAAGAGTCCAATATATTCTGGTACCTTAATTATTTTACGTAGAGGGTCACCAAGTATTTTTCTTATATCCTTCTACAATCCTATATTTCATCTTTATAATTACTATTACTTTTCATTCTCTTTAGTTTTGTTTACTTATTTATTAAGTTGGCCATCTATCTAACTGTACATCATTAAGAAAAGTTGTTTTGTTTACACTTCCTTTTTCCTCTAGTATAATGACTTGGAGTTTAACATTTTCAATTAGCATATGAAAAAAAGCAATAACGCCTCTAATAGCCAATATACAGTATATTATTATAATAAATACTTCCATAAAAAACGACTGACTCGGTTGCGATCCTTCTCCTTATTATTAGTATTGATTTAATTGCTTCCATTCACGCGTCCATCCTTCCTTACGTACATCCGCGCGTATATACAGTATATATATATATATATATATATATTCTCTATATATATTTTCCCTAATAGCTGTTTAATAGAGAATCGATTTGTTTTCTTCCTTTTTTCTTCCCTTTTTCTATTCTGTTTTGTTTTTTTATATATCGATATGCTACAAGTTATTTTTTAGTCTTTTTTCTATTCTTTCCCTTTTCTTTCTTTCTTTCTTTCTTTCTTTCTCTTTTTTCTCTCTTCGTCAATTTTTTCTTTACAATCAAATATTAATGTCACCTATCCTAATCAGGTACTGGAAATGTTGGGTAATGGATCCTTCTTCAACGGCCTATTATCGTTGGTTGGCCGTCATTTCAATTGCCGTCCTCTACAATCTCATCATGATCGTCGCCCGTTCAGTCTTTTGGAAACTACAACAGCAATTTAGATACATCTGGCTGGGTTTAGACTATATCTGTGATACGATTTATCTTATCGATATGTTCGTACAATTTCGAACTGGTAAGTTAGCATTTAACTTTTTTCTACATTTCTCTTTTGTTTGAATTCCACTTTTTGAAATGAATTTCAATAATTTCGAAACTCTTCTCTCTTTCCTCTTTCTTCTACTTCTTCCTCTTCTCTCTCTCTCTCTCTCTCTCTCTTTCTTTCTTTCTTTCTTTCTTTCTTCTTTTTAAAGCTATTTCTATGTTCTTCTTTGATCTATTGCATATTCACACAATTAAACCATATATTGTTTTGCTTTATTAGTCTCTTTTCTTTTCTTTTTTGCATATTCTGTATATACATATTTTTTTTTTCATTTCATATGTGCGCATGCGCAATGGCGTCAGTTTTGTGGTCTATTGCACATAATAGGCATAGTTAATTGATAGAAATTAGCGCAGCGACAATTTACTCTCTTTTTTTTCAGGGTTATCAAACAGTCTTTACGCTATTTAGCACTTAATGACATTGATTATTTATTTATTTAGATAATAGAATCAATTCTCTCCATCTTTTTTCTCTTTAGTTCTTTCTCATTTCCTTTTTTTTCTTTTGTTTATAGACTGCTTGTTTAATTTAAATAATAACAATACAAGGAGGATATAGAAAAGAAAATGGAAATTTCAATACTTTTTATTTGCCTGTCTGTCTGTCTATCTCTCTCTCTCTCTCTCTCTCTCTCTTTAAGAGTAAATATGAATAAAATAACAATCTAGGCACAGAAAAAATATGTTTCTTTATTAATTAAGAAACAGAAAGAGAAAGAAAGTGACATCATCTTGTACATATGATATAAATGATAAAGAAATAAGCTATAGTACTCGATTGAATTAGTGCAAAATGCGTAAAAATCGAATGTTAAGGACGAGAAAGAATTAAAAGAAAACAAAAGTTTGACAAACAGTGTTTTCTCTACCTATATTTTTTAAGTTACATAGATTATACAGTAAAAATTCTCTATTGCAGTTTGATGTAATCTATATATGTTTCTGAGTACCGATCTTCGTTGTAAACAAGTAAAACCACCACCAACCCCAATTTGATGAGTACAACCCTCCAATGTTGGCTATTTAGTTAATAAAACTTTGTTTTTAAAGGTATAATTTTAAAATAGGTTACTTGGAACATGGCCTGCTGGTTGACGACAACCGCAAACTGGCTAAGCGCTATGCGAAAACTTTGCAGTTCAAAATTGATATCTTTTCCATTCTACCGACCGATCTCCTATATTTGGCAATAAAAGACTTAGACGCTGCCTACTTACGTTTTAATAGGATTTTCAAGTTTTACAGACTAGTTGATTTTTTCGATAGAACAGAAACGAGGACAAACTATCCAAATGTTTTTCGAATATCTAAGCTTATTCTATATATTCTTATCATCATTCACTGGAATTCATGCATCTATTTCCAAATATCAGCTTTGATAGGCTTCGGCACGGACGACTGGGTTTATTATAATATTAATGAAACTCTTTACCCCGAGAATGCCACGCTTAGCCGAATGTATATCTATTCTTTCTATTGGTCGACGCTCACACTCACAACTATAGGAGAGACGCCACGTCCAGAGAAGGATGTCGAATACGTTTTTGTCGTCTTCGACTTCCTTATCGGCGTTTTAATATTTGCTACAATCGTAGGTGACGTCGGCAGCATGATTTCGAATATGAACGCTGCAAAATCAGATTTTCAACAAAGAATGGACGGCGTTAAAATGTACATGAAACTAAGGAAGGTAGGGGAAGATCTAGAGACTAGAGTTATCAAGTGGTTCGATTACGTTTGGAATAATAAAGAGTCTTTTGACGAAGAGGAGATTCTATCTAAACTACCAGAGAAATTACGAGCAGAAATAGCTATAAACGTTCATTTAGACGCTCTGAAAAGAGTAGCAATCTTCCAAGATTGCGAGCCAGGCCTTTTAGTTCAATTGGTATTAAAATTAAAATTATCCATCTTCAGTCCAGGCGATTACGTTTGCAGAAAAGGTGATATTGGTAAAGAGATGTATATAGTTAAGAAAGGTCAATTAAACGTAGTAGGCGACGACGGACAAACAATTTACGCCGGCCTAGGAGACGGATCGGTTTTTGGAGAAGTTTCCATTCTAAATATTCCTGGCAACAAAACGGGAAATCGACGGACGGCTAACGTCAGGAGTCTAGGATATTCCGATTTGTTCGTCCTCTCCAAAGACGATCTGTGGGACGCTTTACAAGAGTATCCCGACGCCAAGGACAAGTTAATCGAAAGAGGTAAAGATATCCTGCAAAAGGACGAGCTGTACGATCCCGAAGCGGCTAAATTAGAAGAAGTAGCTAAGGAGTCTTTAGATCACAGGTTAGAGAGGATAGACGTCAATCTTGACGGTTTAACAACGCGTTTCGCGAGATTACTCGCCGAGTTCTCTTCTCAACAATCAAAAACAAAGCAAAGATTGAGTAAAATGGAAAAGGAGCTGGACGATATGAGAAAATCAGTTGTTCCAAGCGACGAGCATCTCAGTTTGAAATAGCGTGCATAAAAGTAACAAACAGACAAATGAGAACAAAATCACTTTTTATTATCCATATTTAATTAACTAATTAATTAATTAATAAGTTTAATTAGTTAATTAGAAACAAAACGAAAGAAGGAAGTTACAAAGTTAACTTGTATATTTATTTATTTATCAATTTTCTAAGTTTTTTAGTTTGTATTTAACTTAAATCATTTACTTTACATACTGTATTTATATGAAAAACTCCAGAAGAACAATACTTTATGGCATCCATGTTAGTGCCTCTATTCAAACAATCTTGTACAACAGCGTTCAAAGTTGTAACTATACGTTTACTTATATAATATTATATAAAAGAGTATATTGTAGATAAATTTCTCTGTTTATCTTTCTCCCTTCTCCTCTTCCCCACTCCCTCCTAATCCTAAGAAAAGCCAATGGTATATATATATATATATATATACCTTATATATGAATATCGTAAAAAAAATAGAGAAATATTATCACTAAATTCGAAAAATGGTATGAAATTTTCTCGAAAGAAGAGAATACTTGAATTAAAGAGATTATACAACGAAATGAACAAACGTTTTAAATGTGTGCGCATATGCTATAAATAGTTCTAGTTTATCAATCTTTATATTTTGCGCAGTTTTGCGGTGTTTCTCTTTCATTTTTACTCTTTAAAACTCTCATTTTCGTGCATTAAAATCACCTGAGATCTATCTATTAGCCTCTTAAGTGAAGTCTGCGCTGAGCGTATTAAATTTGAACGCTTTGACATTTTTTACCGCAAAATTTTCCAGTTTATTTGGAACAAGGTCTTCAAGTTCGAGACTCGAAAAAACTCGCAAAAAAATATATATCGGCCTTAAGGTTCAAGTTTGACGTCATATCTCTTCTACCGACCGATATTCTCTATGTATTCCTTGGTATCAATTTCCCTGAAATTCGCGCCAATAGACTTCTGCGTTTATCGAGGATGCTGGAATTTTTCGACAGAACAGAAACTAGAACAAATTATCCCAATACTTTTAGAATAACTAACCTTATTCTTTACACCCTCATCATTATCCACTGGAATGCTTGCTTCTTCTTTCAAGTGTCGGCTTGGATTGGTTTCGGATCCGACGACTGGGTTTACTTCAGTATCAACGAAACACTCTACCCCGACAACGCCAGTCTCAGCCGAATGTATATCTACTCATTCTACTGGTCGACTCTCACGTTAACAACGATTGGAGAAACGCCCCGACCGGAGCGGGACGTCGAATACGTCTTTGTAGTTTTAGAGTTTCTAATCGGCGTTCTAATCTTTGCTACAATCGTCGGTAACGTCGGTAGCATGATTTCGAATATGAACGCCTCAAAAGCGGAATTTCAGCAGAGAATGGACGGAGTTAAACAATATATGGAGTTTCGACGGGTTAGCAAAGACCTGGAAAGCAGAGTAATAAAATGGTTTGATTATCTATGGACGGAGAAACAGTCCGTAGACGAACAGCAAATTCTTGCCGCTCTTCCAGAAAAACTCAGAGCTGAAATAGCTATGCACGTCCACTTGGATACGCTTAAGAGGGTTGCAATATTTCAAGATTGCGAACCCGGATTACTCGTCGAACTCGTTCTCAAATTGAAACTATCCGTCTTTAGTCCTGGTGACTACATTTGCAGAAAAGGGGATATTGGGAAGGAAATGTATATCGTTAAAAGAGGCAAGTTAAGCGTTGTTGGTGACGACGGAAAAACTGTATTTGTAACGCTTAGCGACGGATCAGTCTTCGGAGAAATATCAATTCTAAATATTGCCGGCAATAAAACTGGCAATAGAAGAACAGCCAATGTTAGATCTATAGGCTATTCAGATTTATTTGTCTTATCTAAAGACGATCTATGGGATGCCTTAACCGAATATCCCGAAGGGAAAAAGGTTCTAATGGAGAGGGGAAAGCAAATCCTCATGAAAGTAAGCTATTGTTCATTGTTCACGTTCTTTCTCTTCCTCCTATCTTGATTTGTTTCTATAAATTCATATTTCTCCAAGGATAATCTTATTGACGAAGAGGCTGCTAGAAAGGCTGAACAAGAGCAGGAATCAGTCGATCTCAAGGTTGATAGAATTCTAACGGATCTTGATAATTTACAAGTAAGCTACTTCCTTTCCCCTTTCCCTGATCTTCTAATGCGTTTGTTTGTTTATTCCTTATTATCTTTTCAACAAAACAGACCCGATTCGCTCGTCTTATGGCCGAATTCCAATCGACTCAGTCGAAACTCAAACAACGAGTAACAAAATTAGAAAAGAAACACGAAAATGATGGCCAATCAAACTTGAGTACTTTATTAAGGGATGTTGATAATGCGATGGCTGACGATTTAAAAGATAGCCAACCGAGAACGTCGAGATCAAAGTCCGTTTCGCTAAACATCGAAAATCAAAGGAATTAGAAATGTTGAGAATTTCTTCCGTTAAAGCTCAAACATCCTTAGTTCTATTCTTTATATATACATATTTATATAGAGTATATTCTTATTAATGACAGAGGAGGAACAAAATGCTTACAATGAAATTAAGAAAAACAAAGAATTATTCTTTATTTCGAACATTTTTTCTGAACGAAATCAATGATAAACAACTTAAAATATAATCATTCTATTTCATTAACATATACAATAGTGTATATATTCAATGAATATACTAAAAGTATATACGATTACTTATAGCTTGTCACTACCTCCATATCTACTACTTTACAGTATACACCTTAGCTCTCTCAGTAAGGGCGAATTGAACACCTATAGCCGCATTTTAACAGATTGGATAATTGTAACATTATCAATTCACTCTCTTCATCATAGGCCTTGTTGCAATCTTCCGAGTCGTCGTTATTTGAATGAATATATAATTCTCTTCCATAGACTCTAGTCCAGTCTACTTTAAATGAAAGGGGATTAAACCCCACCCACTCTGTGTATCTATACTTTGCGGTTCTTACGCTATAACCCATTATCCTAATATACCTTAACTTTGGCTGATCGCTATCAAATCTCGGATAAATGGACGGACGAGGGTATTGACTGAAAGCGGCAATTTTATTCATTGTCTGCCTCTTCAACAAGCTTAATCCTTCCGTGCAGACTTTTTCAAAGTGACCTTCACGACAGCGCCTTAACGGCTCAAGGCCAACCACGTCAACAAGCGTTGGAAAAACGTCAACTAGTTCGACGAGTTCGTTTGAAACTCTTTTAGGAGTGTACGTCAATCGATTGGGTGTTTTGAGGGCATCGACGAAATTGAACTTGAACGAACCTTCACTAGGAAGATGAAGGAGAAGAGGAACTCTAGTAGAAACTTCGAAGTTGCTGAATTTTGACCACTCTCCGTGCTCTCCCAGAGACCATCCTTCGGAAGAAAACTATTATATTTACAATCGCAACTCATCGTAATAAGATAAAGGTTGAAGGAAGAGAGGTGACAAGAGGGAAAATAGACAATTACCATGATCGCTCATAAAAAGAATAACAGTATTTTCAGCAAATCCATTCTCTGTAAGAGCGGAGAGAACCCGACCCACTTGACTATCCATGTAGGACGTAGAAGCAAAATAGCTTTGTCTAATTTTTTGCTGTTGAAAAATGTTATAATAAAAATAAAGGATTTCCCAAAGATGAGTATCGTGACAATAAAGCCTTTTTTAATTTATATATCGTAATGAAAGAAAGGGGGAGGAGAGTATTGCGGTTGTAGGAGAGAAGAATAGGAGAGAAAAGAAAAAAAGAATAGATTGATCGACAATCTGTTCGTAGTCAAAATGATATGACCTAGTTAGGATAAAAGTCTTCATCTATCATCACCGCCAGTATTTCTATGACTGCAATAGAGTTAAAGAATGATTGCAAATCATTTTTTACCCTGTAATTTAAAGGTATCTCTTCGAAAGGAAATGTTAAATTTAACTGCTGTATATCGTCTCTTAATCTTAGATCGTTCCACGGATTCCACGCCGGTAGGGGTAATTTCTCGGGTTTGGTTGCATCCTTTAACTTTGGGATTCGGTAGAATGGATATAAATCTTTATAGAGTAGAATTATCAATCGTAACTATTTCTATAATATGCTATTAGAATATAATTACCAAGATACTCCTTTGGAAATTTTAATGGAATGTGCGGTTTATGGAATCCTACAGCCATAAAAAATGGCTTTTCCTTTTTATAATTATTTAAAAACCTAACAGAGTAATCGGCAATTTCAATGTCAGGTAGAGATTTTCCAGGTTGACTTTCCACGTCAACTGGGCATACGATATTCATCCGTTTCCCCCATTTCGTCGGGCAAACCTTTGACATTCTATACTTTAAAGTCGGCGGATGATAAGGTTTTTCCGACCAGCTATAAGGGCAATCGTCTGAATGGTTGCTAACAATTCCTACAAGAAAAGGAAGAGAAAGTCTATTATATAATAATTTCGATAATAATACTGATAATAATAGTAATAGTAATAGTAGCAGTAAGTAGGATAAAATTACCGCATTTTCAAGGTAGAAAGAGAGTAATAATATACCTGGATGGAAAATCTTGCCAATTGACAAAGTGTGATAGCCTTTTTCTTTGAAATACTGAGGTAAAGTGGTAAAATTACCGGCAGCTCTTCTCCAATACGAATGAACATCATAGAGTTTGATGGAATCCGGTCTTCTTCCCGTTAGAAAGGATGTTCTGCTCGGTCCACAAAGGGCTTGCTACAAAGAGTTTAATTGAACGTGATGTTGTGCAGGAATTGGGATACGAAAACGGACAAACTTGAGCATAAGTTCTATTGTATAATGTTGATTGTGACGCTAATTGGTCAATATTAGGCGTGTTCATATATGATGTATTAAAGGCCCCCAAAGCTGGTCTCAGATCATCTATAATGATCATAAGAACATTTTCTCGAGGATTCCCCCATCCTAATGAAATAAACGACGCAGGGTAAAATAGTAATGACGGCGTCTGATAAATATTACACTATATGAAATTATACCTGAGACTATAAGTACAAGTAACTGATAGAGGGTGAATATCCACCCTTTTTCCAGTTTTTTCATCCCTCAGCAATAAAGAACAAACGAAAATAAGAGAGTCTACAGAAATGCAACTGTATAATTTAATAAGTATTTCTTTGCTGCAAGAAAACTCTATCTCTCTTTTTTGTTTTAAATAAATCCTTTCTCCGCCCTTTTTTTTACTCTTTAAATGTAATAAACAAACCAAATATGTATCGAATCGATTTCTCACCGACGACAGTGGCGCCCTCTAAATTGAAATCTCGTAAACAATTGCTGTTGGATTGGAAAAGAAACTTGATATGTTTTCCCGCCTTTGTTTAAAGTTTTTCTTTCTTAATTTTGCACCTAAATGATTTTTGGAAGAAAGGAAGGAAGGAAGGAAGAGAGAGAGAGAGTGAGAGGGGAAATATACGCTATAAAACTATTATACTAGTCCGAATTTTCTTTTCCCAAGTCGAACAAGTTGACTTTTTAGGCCTATTTATATAATTTATAAAAATATTTTCCTTATATAAAAATCGATTGAGATAATTTGTTTCCAAGAAGACAAAACTATGAAGTTGGAAGATGAAAATCTCTTTCCTTTCAATTCTTTCTATAATTAATTATAATCTTTATTTATGTGTTTTATTATCTTCTTCTCTTCCCTATTCTTGTCAATTTTGTATTAGTTATATAATACAAAACTTTCTTTCCCTTTATTTATATCTATTCTATTGTTTCTTTGTAGAGAGGTGACGTAAAGAGTGTTCACACTCCTCTTTCTCTATAAACCTGATACCCATCTTTCTTCGATTCTTTTCTAGTTTCATATCCATCCAACTGCTGGATTATTCAAAAATAGAATAATTCTTGGAAGATGATTATTAAGATTGTAAAAGACGTGTATTGAATTTATATATCTATCATCTATATCATTAGTTAAACAGATAACTCAACAACGCTCCGTTGTCATGTTCTTTATTGAATAAACAAAACATGCACAAACACACAATATACAATATATATATATATATTTATATATATGCATACAGTATATTATATAACTATTAATGTTATTACTTCTCCAAAAAAAATGTCTGACAGCCTATAGATGGCGTTAGATATATCTTTTGCAACAATAACTGAAACGTGTATGACAAAACAAAGAAAATATTGATAGAAATGGGACGTTATCGATTAATTGCGATATATTTATTTATTATTAACATAAGAGTAAATTGTCTGGCCAAAGATTGCACTGCCGAAACAGATTTTTGCGATAAATATAACAAGAATGAGGTATTTCAGTCGGAGCGTTTCTTCTTCTCTAGCAGAAGAATACGAGCGCGCCATCTATTATGACTTTGACCTCAATTCGTCCTCCAGGAGTATCTTAGTAGAATGGCTGGAGAAAGAACGTTTTTGTGTATTAAACCCGATGCCGTCCAAAGGGGCTACGTGGGCGAGATAATTAGTAGATTCGAGAAGAGAGGCTACAAGTTGGTTGCAATGAAATTTATGAAGGTTAGGTTTGGAGTATTCTAATAACCCGAGTAGCCATATAGCCTTATGTATTTTGTATATACTAATATATACATGTATATGTATATGCTATATATATATATATATATATACTGTATATATATATATATGTATTAGTAAATGGAATGGGAAAGGAGTCTTTCAGTCTAGCTTTACGCCATAATCTATACCTTACCTCTCTCTTCTTTCACCCCTTTTCGTTTGAAGGATGAACTGCTTAATACTTTTTTTAGGCATCCGACGAACTTTTAAAGAAACATTACGCCGAGCATGTTGGAAAAGGGTTTTTTGAAAAGCTACTCAAATACATGTCTTCTGGACCGGTTGTTCCCATGGTTTGGGAAGGAAAAGACGTTATAGCGCAAAGCAGAAAGATGCTCGGAGCAACAAATCCTTTAAAATCAGAGCCTGGAACTATTAGAGGAGATTTCTCGATCGATATGGGCAGGTAAAGCTTTTAGAAATTCACTTTTCTCTTCCTCCTTAGTGTTGTTTTTTTTCTTCTACCTTTCAATTTAAATGATGATTAAGAGCTTTTATAAATGCAAATCAGGAACATTTGCCACGGAAGCGATAGTACTCAGAGTGCCGAACGTGAAATTAACTTATGGTTCTCTGAAAAGGAGAGAGTTGAATGGAAATCGATGGCCGAAAGTTGGATCTACGAGTAAATTGAAAGTAATATATAGATTGAAAACAAAGAGAGAGATATATATATATTAGTATTAGCATATACTAGATATATTCGCACTATAGTCATAGCATTATTCTCTAGTTGTCGTCACAAGCTATTGGAAAGGCACTTCCAATACCTTTTCCGTGTCCGTGAACGTTCAGCACAATCATATATCCGTCGATATCCACTTTGGTCTTTTCCAATCTCATAAGTCGACAAATTGTATAAATAGCAATTTCAAACTCGGGACTGGTACCAATAAACGAACTACCAATAGGCTTACCTCCGCCTTTCGTCCAGGTAAATTGTATGGTTATCAGTCTAGGATTGTCTTCTTTGCCCGTTCCTCTTCTAAAATAACCTTTATAATCAATATTACCTCTCTTCTCTTGCAAATAGAATTGAATCCAATTGTGGAATCCAATAACTGATTTCTCTCGAGTTTCTCCTACAAAAACATGCTCGAAACCGGAAGAATCCAAATTTCTATCTTCTCTCATTCTCTTATAGAATCTAAACCATATCGAATAGAGTAACCTTTTAAAATGGTACTCTTCTTCGGGAGCTAAAGCCTTTTCAACCAGAAACTTGTGGCTCTCTTTCATCACATCAGTTTCCATAATCGCATCGATGAAGCGCACGTTTTCCTATAGATTTTTATTAATAAAGAACTTATACGATGACGCTATTTATAGCCTAAAAGTATAATTTAATAAGAAAAATCTCTTTCCTACTTCTAGTTCATCTTCGGTGAGCGTCTCTTTTGTGCCGGTTTCCGTTTCGTAGTTGTCCAACAAATCTCGAAATGTACGGTAGGTAGGTCTATCGAACACCTGCTCGTTAACGTAGGCGAAGAGATCTCGTCTTGCCCAGTCCTTTTTAGAGATGCTCCTAGCCGATTTAACGAAACCCTGTAAATCTAATTCGTAGTCGACTCCCGCCAAGCATTTATTATCGTCGATGGTCCAAAGCTTCGTAAAGAATTCGGATAATTCTTCGTTTAATTCCGGTTGTTCGTATGCCATTTTGCTTTATCCAATATTATTCTTATCTTCCCACAATTCAATCTGTTTAAGACAGACTCCTATACTTACATTTGCATGCGTCGAGCTTTATATATATAATATACAGCATATACAGTATAAGGCTATACTTTATGAATATTCAGTCATTAGGAAAGATGAGAATAAGATGTGGTGGCTAGAACACATTCAACCATAAACTATTTATAGAACGTACCTAGAACTCTTAAAAATTTAATTCTACCCTTATTTGTCTATTAGGCCTAATACGCACATGTTCACCTAGACAAAGATAATTACTATTAACGCTTTCTTCCTTTTCTTTCTCCTTTTCGGCTGCTTTTAATTCGATTATATTTTTCAACTGAAATAATACGAAAATAACTCTGGTAAAACACTTGCGTTATTGCTTCTAAGCCATATGATACACAGCATAGGCTAAAATCTTGGATAGGTCAAAACTAACCAGTATCTAGCTCCATCTATTGGCAGAGAAGGTTACAATATATTTTTTATATCGTCTTGAAAGAAATATTTTTGATGAGATAGATAGATAGATAGATTAAGAGAGAGAGAGAGAGAGAGGGGGGAAGCTGAGTGAAGTAAAAAGAGGGGGCAGATAGACCCAAGGATTTCTATGGAAGGGGAATATATTATAGTGTATACATATATATTAATTTATATTTCAAATGTATATGGTCAAAGGATTAAGAATTTCTTTTCTTTCTTGTCTTATCCGTGCCGCAAATATTTTCAAGGATAAAAGCTTAAAAGATAAAAAGGCCCAGTGAGAGAATTTGGCTTGGTCTAACGAGTTAGATAGAGTAATTATTTTGAGATTAAATCGAGAGATAGCTATGCGTAAAAGACCAAGCAGACAGAGAGAGAGAGAGGGAGAGAGGGAGAAAGTGGATAGATTGGAAAGGAACAATTTCAGTAATGAATAAATAGTGGAACCATGTAAATGCATGTAGGTGATGGGCTATATTAAACATCCAGCAACGAGTGTGATACACTACAATCTATATAGAATACTATCTATTATACACGAAAGAGTAATAGGATAAAGCGGATAGGAGAGAATGACCGGTCTTATGATCAGAATGTGTAAATAATTCATTCTTTTAGATAAGAAAATATGTTTGCTCTAGAAAAAACATAACAAAGAAAGATAATTTTCTAAGCTACTTATCTTTACGGTCAAGTCCTTCTTACTTAAAATAAAAAAAGAGAAAAATTTATGTGCTTCAAATCGATCAATTCCTTCTTATTCTTCTCTTCCTACTTCAATCTATCAAAATCACTCAAAGTTAAGAGGTTAAAAGAGAATAGGATTATCTAAAAGAACAAAAGAAAAAGAAGAATAATCGTAATAGATAAGCAATACACAGAGTATTAAACAATAAATACAATACACGGCGATATGCAATATACTGTGTATAATATTTTTATTATTAGTCCAAGTAAAAACTCTTAACAGCCATTTAATTGAGTAAGAAATAATAATCTAGCGGATTATCATTAATTTAATCCTTAATATCTTAACAATTTACAATATATATATACATATATACAACGGCGTATACGGTATATAAGCTTAATTTCTCTACTCTTTCAAATCAGTCCATTATAATCTTAAGATGTTCTAACCAATGACTCTGTAATGTGACTATTATCTTATCAGATATAATATTTTTGTGACGTTTTTCAAAAAAAAAATGTAAAAAAAAAATGAAAATAACGTAATTGGTCTTTTAGACTGTTATTTTATTACTGTTATTATTTCTTCATCATCCTCTTCATCTTTTCTTTCTTCTTCTTCTTTCTCTACTCTATTGCTGAATTATAGTAACAAAATCTTCAGTTGATAATATTAGAGGCGAGAAAATATGGATAATAATCAAGGTATGTAGCTTTTTTCTAATATTAGCTCATCTGCATTTATTTGTAATAGTTTCGTGATTCTTTCTCTTTTATTTATCATTTTCCTTCTCTCCTTTCCGTTCATTTTTTCCAAATGATTGTAGAGAGGATTTCTCTTCGTCGTACCGAGTATCTCACTCAGTTAGTGTTTTTTTTTCTTTCCCTCTCTATATATTACCTTCAATAAAGCTAGTTGGCTGAAGAAGGGGTTGTAGAGGAGAAACGACGACTGATGGAAAGACGCCTCTCTCAAAAACTGCAATAGGGACAAGGATACTTAAATTAGTAATATTCAAAATATCCAGCTTATGTAGACGACTATCAGATTCGTTAGATAGTCGTAGAATTTTATCAATTAAGTTAGGCTTTATAGCAGGATTTCTTGAAATTAGTTACCGATTTAAATTTATGCCCTAACTTAATCAAACTAAACTGCAATTTAACGAATTTATCTTTCAACACTAAAGAAACATTTTCAGCCTTTGGAAAATTTTTACTTTTACGAGCATAAATCACGTTTCGAGTATTAAATGTCGACCGATTTACTAGCTGGATTTTTCCCCTGCAACGCTTTTAGTATTTTCATACGGTAATACCGGAAATTGAGCAAATCGTCAACGTTACTTTTCACTACCGGAATAAAAATACTAAAGCATTAAAAATCCCTTTTTGTTAGTTGAAAAATTTTTAAAAGAAAAAAAAGACTTACTAAAAAGAGACGGTTTGAAACAGCGTCTCTCTCTCTCTTTTTTTTCTTTTATTTGTATATTTCAAACTGGAACTATTGTCCAAAATTTAGACTATATAAAAAAAGAGAAGGGAAAATAAATAAAGAGAAAGAAAAGATAAAAAAAAAAGAGTACAGAGTAAAATTTTAGGGTACGTACGCTTGCCTAAGCTCTATCTTTTCTTCTTTCTCCTTCTTCATGTTTTTTTTTCAGATAAAAGCGTTTTGCGGTTGTCTAGAGAAAGCCTCCATACTTCAGCGTCACCAACAATGGGGTCGGAGATTTATTCGGCAGTGAGTACTTTTCTGTCTGTTAAAGTCTCGATTCTATTTAACAGGCAAAGAAGGTTCAACAACTCTAGTAGTAAACTTACTCCATTACACTCCAATAGTCATGCACCTTTCTATCTTATCTTTTTTCATCTATCATCCTAAACTTTTACAATTAATTAAATTGACAAACGTGTCTCTAAACGAGACACACACACACAACCAGAGAGAGAGAGAGAGCGAGAGAGAGACAGAGAGGTAGACAGAAAGACAATCGGACAGGTAGACTATAACGTGCATAGAAAAAAACAAAGAAATGATATTGAAGTCTATAATGAAGTTTTCTATATAAAGAAAGGTCCTATTACATCTTTAAATTATCTTTAAAGAGTTGGCTGCGTTAAAATGGTTGATCTAGAATCAGTTCATGCTCTCATTGTAAATTGATTAATAGATGACACTCTGATTGCTATTGTTACAAAAACTTACATTACGAATCAAGAAGACAAGTAAACATTACTAACATCTACAAACAGATAAGGCCGAGAGTTAATTTGCAAAGTGATATCCCTCCTGATTTATCAAAATTATCTAACGCTCCTCCTCCTTCCAGTCCTGGGCCTTATAGAAAAACGGTCTGTATATATTCAATTCTATTTATTAGAACGCCTTTGTTCTTTTTTTTATCATTTTCAAGCTCTTTTTTGAAATAGTTTCGACGACGAAATTCCAATTCTCTTACCTACAAAAATGACGCTTTTGAAGGTGAAGGATCCGAAACTAGCTTTCGCCGTCAATCCTCTCTAAACTCAAGTAATAGGGTATGCTATTGCTCTACCATACTATTTTGATTTATTATATAATATTTCCCAGTTTTTTTTCTATATAACAAACCATAGGGACAAGATGGCGGATTCCTACAAAGGAGATTTTCGGTATTTACTTCTAAAATAAAACAACCGACGGTAACAATGAAACAGAGACAAGAGTTTGACAATTACTCTAGTGTAAACTATATGCCTGCTCATAGCGATTTGTATCTCAGCTGGCTAAAGGAGCATCCCCTTAGAAGGTAAACCTGCTTATTATCTATCTACCTTACCCTACAAAGTTTAAGTCAATATTTCTCTTCTTCCTTCCTTCTTAAAATCTATTTTCAAAATGTCAATTTTTCTCCTTCATCTCACCTTTCTCTCTCTCTCTCTTTCAATTAATTTTGTTTTCTATTCAATCAATCAATCACTAAGGTTGGACTGGGATCGATGGTTGCTCATGTCAATGATTGGCATTATTATAGGCCTTGTAGCCTTTCTCTTGAAACAAACTTTAGCTGTTTTAGATGACTTTAAATGGAATAGAGCCCGAGAACTCGCTTCAGTTAGTATTTTAGAAAAAATATCTCGATGAAGAAGAGAATCTCTCGAACACAATCGTTAGGTTTTATCTAGCCCTTTTTTCTTTTCTTTTTTTTAGGAGAGCATAATCAAGTGCTGGGGCTGGACTGCTGGCATTAGTATAGCTTTTGTCCTTATCAGTTCAATTATCATTGTCGTTAGTAGATAATTACTTTTAGATAATCTCCAATGACTTTTATATGATAATAATTTTCTATCCTTTCTATAGTTCATTCATCCGCCTGCTGGAGGTAGTGGTGTTCCAGAAACCATCACTTTCCTTAATGGAATTGTAGTTCACAAAACTCAAACGTTACGTAACTTTATTGCGAAATTCGCGTCCGTTGTCTTTGCCGTATCTAGCGGACTTCCTTGCGCTATACAAGGTCCAATAATTTCGTTAGGAGCGATTATTGGTTCCGGAGTAGGTCAATTTCAATCAAAGTCTTTAGGATTTCGACCAAACTGGTTTTCGAGATTTCGAAATGCCGAAGATCGTCGAACATTTACAACAGCTGGAGTTGCCGCAGGCGTAGCCGCAGCTTTCAATGCTCCTATCGGAGGTCTTCTCTTCGCAATGGAGGATTTATCTTCTCATTGGAATAGGAAATTATCTTGGCAAACGTTCTTTTGTTGTTGTATCTCCGTATCGGTTGCGAATTCTTTCAATTCGGCATTCGATAGATTCAAATGGCAAGGCAGTTTTGGATTATTTAACTTATGGGTTGCTGAGCCGATTCAAGTGAACATTCTTATGCTGCTTCCAGCCATTATTCTCGGATTGATAGGAGGAGTTCTAGGCGCCATATTCACAAGACTAAATGTCGCTATAATAGAATTACGAAAATTTCTATTCGGGAAGATAAAAAACTTGAATTTACAAAGATTAGCAAGAATAATTGAACCGTGCATTATAGTGGTATGTGGGAATTATTCGATCGATCAGAGATTATCCGATAATTATAAAAAAAAGACAATGATTCTTATAAAAGTATAAAAAAAGTTGAGATTCTCGTGATTATCCTACTCTATTTAAAGCAAAGAAACACAAAATCAATCAATCAAACAGTGATTAATGTACAATGAAATGAACAAAACAAAAACCGTTGTTTTTCATACAGTTTATTATGTCGGTTATTGTCGTCTTAATGCCAAACGCTTTTCAATGTACTGAAGATAAATCTCGAGAAGGGAATATAACGGCTCCAATCTTGAAGCAATGCAATATGAGGTATGAATTTAATTATCTTTGACTTTTTCTTCTATATTTTCTTGAATAACTCTGATAAGGTGAAAAGAGTAACAACGTCAAAAAGGCAATGTTAAAGAAACATTTCAAAGGAATAGAGATAAAGAATTAGAGCATAAATGAAATAGTTTCTACTAGTAGGATATCAGAAACAGTTGGAAAGATAACAAGGATAAGTCTTCCTACTCGATGTAGTTGAAATCTTTCTTTCTGTATTCATCTCTTTAGATATTTTTCCCTATCAATCCAACCGCCTCAATCATACGTAGACTCTCTTCCTCTCATTTCCATTTATAAATACTTTGGTATTTCTATATCTATTCCAGCTTAAATGATTCTTCACTTTCTTGTAAAAAGAGAAAGGAATAGAATGTCGTTTAAAGAAAATTTGATTGATTAATATTTTTTCCTTTATAGAATTTTAAATGAATGTTTTTCTTTCTTGCCTTCAGCTTTAATACTTTTCAGCCAGATGAATTCTCATGTAAAGATAACTCAACTTACAATGAAGGTAAATTCTTCTTCTAATTCCATTAACCTTCTTTTAACGCAACAGTTAACGGAGAATGTTTCTTCATCTTATCTAAACAACTTTACTTTTACTTAAAATTCTTTCACCTAACACAATCAACTTTCATTTTCTTCATTTATTGCAAATTCTCTTATAATCTTTTGCGATCTAACACCAACAAATTTTTGCAGCTGCTACCTTACTCGTCGGTTCGGGAAATAGACTTTTAAGTCGATTAGTCTCTCGGGGAACGCACAGATGGTTTCATTATAGGACACTTTTAGCAATTCTTCCTGTATGGTTCTTCATGGTCTCTTGGACGGCAGGAACTTCGGTTGCCGGAGGAATTTTTGTACCAACATTGTAAACTTTCTTTTTCATATATCACTTCTAGATACAATTTAATCTTCTCTCCTCCATCAACTGTAAACCTTTCAGATCTCATACAATTTCACATATTTAATTTAATTTCATACGCCTCTGCCAAAAATTTACTGTCTCTCTTTTTAAGAATATCGGGAGCTATTTACGGAAGAGCTTTTGGTCTTGCAATCTTAGATATTTATACCTCTCGGACCGGCCATCAATATCCGATAGATTCTTATTGGGAATGGATCGACCCAGGAGCGATAGCCATGCTTGGAGCGGGAAGTCTTCTCGGTGGTGTCACTAGACTATGTCTCGCCGTTACCATGATTATTGTTGAAATGTCACAAGACATCGACTTTGTAATTCCAGTTATGATTAGCATTTGGTCCGCCAAGGTTGTCGCCGATCAACTAGCTTTACCTTTGTATAAATTCATGTTGAATATTAAATCTCTGCCATATTTGGACGCTGAAGCCGAAGTAGTAATTGACAATGAAATGTATTATCAAGTTTTCTTAACAGTTTGAATCTTTTATAATTACAACTGATTTCCTCGTTAGAGTCAACTTGGAATTGTACAAGGCAAGCCACATTATGGCGTCGTCTCCAAAAACCATTCATAGCGTTGAATCGCTGAGTACATTGGCAAGGCTACTGTTGGGAACAAAGCACGGAGGATTTCCAGTTGTGAAATATGACGAAGTAACTAAAACCGATATTTGTTACGGACTGATAACGAGGTAGGAATTTACTCGATTTAATCCTCTAACAGCAACGGTAATCTCTTTGTTTATTTCTTTGTATGCGTTCTATCTACTACGAAAGGAATGAATTGTACATCGTTATGTGTTGCGATGACGTCTACAACGAGGAGCAGATAGGCAAAACTGTCACTCCAACAATCGAATGGGAGAAGGTTCGTTCCTCGTATTGTTACTCTTTCGTTTTCCGTATTATCGGATTGTTCACTTTTTCTTTTCACTTTCCATCAAAGTACATCGAAAGAGAATGACGAAAGTTTGATATTTAACTGAAAATGTACTGAAAAGACGTCTTTTTTTCTAATTTGTACAGATATCGGTGGATTATCTAACTGATCCTTCGGCTATGGAAGAAAGGGTAAGAACTTATACGAAATTCGACCAATATAGAAACATCTACGTAAATTTGGTTAGTGTTTTTATTTGTCTTTATTGAAAGGCGTCTCTTGAATATAATTGAAAAATCATGTTTGTTTGTTTGTTTTCTAACTATTCAGGAACAATTCATTGACAAAAGTTGTACGAAAGTTGATCAAGAATACTCTGTGCATAGAGTTTATACTCTGTTTAGGACATTGGGACTTCGGCATTTGCTTGTTATAGACTCGTTGAATAGAATAGTAGGAATCATAACTCGCAAAGATTTAATGAACTTCAATATTCACGAAAAATTATGTCTGTTTGAAAATAGCTTGAAAATCGATGATAATCTATTCATAAGTTCTGCTGGTTGTAGCATGGAGGAAAAAGGAGAGAAAGATAGTGTTGTTTATCAGATTCTACCTGCCGTAACTATCCCTAGGATAGATGAGGAAATTGAGGAAGGGTCTAGAAAAAATACGATAACTTCATTTGATAGGGGAAGTGAAAGCGTAGCGGCTGAAACAGAAGTAAACGATGAGGAAACGTTGAATGAAATTTTAGAAAGTGGGGAGAATAGTAAGAGGTGTGAAGAGAATTTACGGAAGAATAGCTTGGAATTAAGGAACGTGAAAAGAATCTCAAAAAGTGATTCAGTCGTAAAATTTGATTTATCTTATACTGATGAAAAAACTAGACTTTAATCTTTTCTTTTATAATCCAATTTACTAAGATTTTAATTGTATTTTCTTTAAAGTTGTATCTGTTAAAGACAGAAAGAAAGAGAGAGAGAGAGAGAAGGAAAAAGTGGCAAATTGAAATAAACGTAGTTATACAGTTTGTTGTAATCACGAATAAATAAAACTAGAAAAAAAAAAGAGTTAAAAATTATCTACATATATTTATTTAAAAAAGAAAATTGAGCGGTTGGCTAAAGCAAGCATTAGGTAGGCCTTGTACAGCGTAACTGTAATTATATATATATATATAGCCATTGAGTTAAGTATTAATAAATGAAAAAAAAAATTATCTCTTCGATATAAAAGAAGAAAATTTGAAGATAAAAATGAATGTATTTTTATAGTTTATGCTTGTCAGATGTGTGTAAACATTATGTTATATATTTCCTTGTATACATAATGTTAATGTGTTCGTAGGCATATACATAAAATGTGTACATAGTATATGATATATATATGCAAGTACTTCGTTTTCTCTTAAGCAAACATACTATATAATAGAGAAAATTGCGGATAGAGATTAGCTATGACTCATTTTTCCTTATAAAAAAATGTAAATAACCGTAAGAGACAAGATAAAGTGAATGAAGAAAGAATAAATATCTATTTTTAAATTATAGAAATAATATAAAGACTAAACGATAAATGTAAGGACGATTTTATCTTTAGTTCAAGTTCGATACTTCACAGGTAACTATTAATAATATGTTGTACGAGTATGTATAAATGCATATATGTATCTATGTATGTATGTATTTACGCGCGCATCTATCCCTCTTCCTCCCTCTCTCTCTCTCTCTCTCTCTGTCTATCTCCCACTATGATCATTCACTCTGTATTTATTACTTTTATAACTGTAAACTATATAGATTTATATAATTATTTTGCCGTGTTCTGATGGACAATTAACAGCATTTTTATACATTTAATCATACTGGGATTTACTCTTAATTTACTAAATGTTTGCTTCATCGATGTATTATGTTTGCCCATGATAACTAGGTCACCACGTGCTTTTTTTAGCCAAAAAAAATGAATTACAACTGCTAAAGAATATAGGCTATTTTAAAAAGTTAAATTAGAGTTAAAGAAATATTGTTCGGTTTATTTTGCAGACATTTTCCATTTGCTGTTTATGCTTGCTTCTATATTACGATTTATTGATTAAAGATTGAACTATTAAGTTAAAAAACATGAAAGATATTTTAATTTGTTTATATAGATTCATATCTAGTTTTTATGTCGGTTTTTTTTATCTTTCTTGTTTCTAATGCTAGATGTTAATTTATTACTTTTACTTCTCTTCTTCCTTTTCCCCTTCTTTCTTCTGTTAAGAATAAACAAGGAAGAGAAAACGGTGTCGTCACAATTTCACCTTTGAATGATGTCAATGTCGGATGTCCATCGAGTGGCTCTTGAGAATTCAACGACGGTTGGTAGAAATATTCTTTTCAGATTAGAAAATGTTTATTTATGACCTTTATTTATATTTTCCTTTTTTGTTCATTTTCAATAGATTAGGCCTAGAGGGAATCATCAATCAGAATCAGCATCCGATATTTTGAGACCAGGGAGCGTGTCAGGCAGTCCTGGAGGACTTCGAAAAGTAATATTCTTTCATATGCCCCCAGTTGTATTTTCGCAAAAATTACCTAAATTGAAAATTTATCGTCAAAGAATCGTGTCATTCTAGAGGTGAATGACCTAATGAGAGAAGAAGGACTTTTAAAAGAAATTTTTTATTTTATCCTTCGAGGGAATAAGATTTAAATAATTACATTTTTTCTTTCTTCTTTTTTGACTTGTTGAAAAAAGGGACGTTCTAGAAATTCTATGACATTTGTTAATGAAGGATTTGATGGCGGCGATTCTAATATTGACTCCTTCCGACGTCAATCATCCAGTAATTCCAGCAATAAAGTAAGTACAAAGTATTTTTAATTGCCATAATTTCGTATCATTCAATTACGTTATCTCTCTCTCTCTCTCTCTCTTTTCATGCATTCAATTTACACTATATAACTTGTCTGTGTGCTGTGTATTATTGTATATATTTTGTGCTTCTATTCCCTCAACACTCTAACAATTCAACCTACAGAACTTAGATCTGGCTGCGCCAACCTTTTGGGAAAGCATATCCCAATCTAAGCCTATTCAATCATTTTCTATTTGATTGCAACAACACTTATTGTCTATTCAAAAGATTTTGAAAAAAAACTCCAAGGCATATAAGACAAACAAATCTATTCCCGAGTTCCAATTTGTTCAATTACTTTCTTCCACCTAATTAGCTTATTGGACTCTGTCTTGCAATGTATGGAGAATATCTATTATCCAATTCGACAATCACTGTGAAGTCATTTCTATATGATTATCATAAATCTTACTAGTATTGGGTACGAGTCTCATCCTAGACCGTTTTTTTTTCAATACATGAAACCGTTGTTGCTTCTCTCTCTCTCTCTCTTTCTGCTGTCTATCATTCCTCTTATTGTATTTTTCGTATTCCTTATTCTGATAATTGTTCATTAGGTGGCTTATTAAATTTTCTTTATCGAAATATGTGACGCGAATACAAGAGAAGAAGAAATAGGTTAACTGTAATTGTTCTTTTAGCTGAGCAGCTAATATTTTTAAACGTATTAGATCAACTTGTTTATTATTTTTTTAAGTAAGATTCTCTTATCAGATAATTACAAAGTGTTTATTGCTGTTTTTGTATGTATTAACATACAGTATTGGTATATACAGTATATACAGTATATACAGTATATATACATGCATATGCATTACTGTATAGTGTATATTGTCTGTTGATTGTCTTAACTACCAAACGAGGTATAATGACTTGACCTTAATACTATGATTATTAAGTTTATTACTAATAATTCTTATAATTATCTGAATGAATTATTAAGCTATTTTCTTCATCATCTTGTAGTAAAACTCTTAAGAAACGATAATAATTTTTCTTAAATAACTTATTTTTTTTCAATCTCTTATCCGCTAAACAATTTTTTTTAAGAACACTTCTAGAGATACAACTAATGATAAGTCTATAATTAGAAATTCCTTCTTTCATTCTCTTCTTCTTCTTCTTCTTCTTCTTCTTCTTCTTTCACTGCTTCATTTGCATGCGCTTGTCTAATGCCTTAGTTATGTGTAGACGTAAACGCTATCGATTCTTAATTATTATTCCATTCCCTTATCTGTTGTATTATCTTCTATTCTCTATCTACAGTCGCAAGAGGGTGGATTCTTCTACAGGAGATACTCACTTCATCTTTCCAAAGTAAAAACTCAAAATTTTACGTGGAAACAAAAACAAGAGATATCCAATTTCTCCGGTTTAAATTATATGCCGGCTCACAGCGATTTATACCTTAAGTGGCTTAACGAGCATCCTTTAAAACGGTATATAAACTATTGACCAATCACAATCATTTTAAAAAGGCCTATTATATTCTCCCCGTCACTGCTATTTCTTTAATTTGAAACAGTCTAGAATGGGATAGATGGATGCTAATGACAATTATCGGAATTTGCATAGGGCTTATGGCTTTTTTACTTAAGCAAATATTAGCCGTTCTGGGCGACGCCAAGTGGACAAAGGCACGTCAATTAGTAACGGTAAAAAATTTCATATTCAATTGAAATATTCCATAAAAAAGATATATCATTCTTTGCTGTTTTTTAATCATCGATTGAAAAAATTTAACGATTTCTCTTCGTCTCTTTTTACAGGAAAGCCTTCTTAAAAGTTGGGGATGGACGGCAGGTATTAGTGTTATCTTTGTTCTACTCAGTTCCATCCTAGTTGTTGTAAGTACTATTGATTAAAACTGTATGCTACCCGCAAAAAAACAACGGACAGAAAACAAACAAAGCAAAACTCTGCTCATTTAGCCATTCATACATCATTTCTCTCTCTCTCTCTTTCTCTCAAAAAATGCCTTAATATTTAATATATTTGATTTTTTCACTCTTTTCTGTTTCCTCTTAACTTCATTTTCACTCTAAATCCCTTGCATTCGCTTCTTAGACAAACGCCTAACTTTCGAATTTTCTGCAGTTTGTTCATCCACCTGCTGGAGGCAGTGGCGTTCCAGAAACCATCACTTTCCTTAATGGAATTGTTATTCATCAAACGTTATCTCTCCGTAATTTCATTGTGAAATTCGCTTCCGTCGTCTTTGCAGTGTCCAGTGGACTACCAAGTTCAATTCAAGGTCCAATAATTTCGTTAGGAGGAATCGTTGGTTCCGGAGTAGGTCAATTTCAATCAAAGTCTTTAGGCTTTCAACCAAAATGCTTTTCGAGATTTCGAAATGCCGAAGATCGTCGAACATTTACAACAGCTGGAGTTGCCGCAGGCGTAGCCGCAGCTTTCAATGCTCCTATCGGAGGTCTTCTCTTCGCAATGGAGGATTTATCTTCTCATTGGAATAGGAAATTATCTTGGCAAACGTTCTTTTGTTGTTGTATCTCCGTATCGGTTGCGAATTCTTTCAATTCGGCATTCGATAGATTCAAATGGCAAGGCAGTTTTGGACTGTTTAGCCTATGGGTTGCCGAACCAACTCAAGTGAACATTCTCCTGCTGATTCCAGCCATTATTCTCGGATTGATAGGAGGAGTTCTAGGCGCAATATTCACAAGACTAAATGTCGCTATAATAGAATTACGAAAATTTCTATTCGGGAAGATAAAAAACTTGAATTTACAAAGATTAGTACAGATAATCGAGCCTTGCATCATAGTGGTAAGATAACTTTTATCTATGCTAATATAGAAAGTTTTTTAGTCTGAAAGTATTGAATAATTCCATTAAACAATAAATGTTTTTTCTCTTCCCGCTAAAAGTTAATCATGACAATATTTGTGATTCTGATGCCTTCCGCCTTTAAATGTACGCAAAATAGTGGTCTGGACCAGAATGAAACCAGTATCTTAGCTCGCCAGTGTAACTTAACGTAAGTAGCGGAATTTTAAATGAACGGCAAAAGCAAGTATTTAAAACTTCTCTCGAATATATTCAGCTTACACATTTTTCAACCTGACGAATACATTTGTGATAATAACTCATCTTACAATGAAGGTAACAGACAGGACTGTCCATATTCTCTAAAACAATTCTATTCATAAATATTGGCATTTATCCATTGACATTAACATCATTTAAACGACAAAACCATTTTGCAGCCGCAACTTTACTCATTGGTTCTGGAAATAGGCTCTTATCTCGACTGGTCTCTCGAGGAACACACAGGTGGTTTCATTATAAGACACTATTAGCCATTTTACCCGTATGGTTTTTTATGCTATCTTGGACAACGGGAACATCAGTAGCCGGAGGAACATTTGTGCCAATACTGTAATATTCTAAATATATTGATAATTGCAAACAAACACAACGAAAAGTCGCTCTATATTAATTGACGCCCTTTGTCATATTCTATATATATAATTCGTTTCTCTCATACATACATTAATCTTTCTTATCAATATTTCATCAAGCAATTATATAACATTTATATCTTTAGAGTGTCTGGGGCTCTCTATGGAAGAGCTTTTGGTCTTGCAATCTTAGATATTTATACCTCTCGGACCGGCCATCAATATCCGATAGATTCTTATTGGGAATGGATCGACCCAGGAGCGATAGCCATGCTTGGAGCGGGAAGTCTTCTCGGTGGTGTCACTAGACTATGTCTCGCCGTTACCATGATTATTGTTGAAATGTCACAAGACATCGACTTTGTAATTCCAGTTATGATTAGCATTTGGTCCGCCAAGGTTGTCGCCGATCAACTAGCTTTACCTTTGTATAAATTCATGTTGAATATTAAATCTCTGCCATATTTGGACGCTGAAGCCGAAGTAGTAATTGACAATGAAATGTATTATCAAGTTTTCTTAACAGTTTGAATCTTTTATAATTACAACTGATTTCCTCGTTAGAGTCAACTTGGAATTGTACAAGGCAAGCCACATTATGGCGTCGTCTCCAAAAACCATTCATAGCGTTGAATCGCTGAGTACATTGGCAAGGCTACTGTTGGGAACAAAGCACGGAGGATTTCCAGTTGTGAAATATGACGAAGTAACTAAAACCGATATTTGTTACGGACTGATAACGAGGTAGGAATTTACTCGATTTAATCCTCTAACAGCAACGGTAATCTCTTTGTTTATTTCTTTGTATGCGTTCTATCTACTACGAAAGGAATGAATTGTACATCGTTATGTGTTGCGATGACGTCTACAACGAGGAGCAGATAGGCAAAACTGTCACTCCAACAATCGAATGGGAGAAGGTTCGTTCCTCGTATTGTTACTCTTTCGTTTTCCGTATTATCGGATTGTTCACTTTTTCTTTTCACTTTCCATCAAAGTACATCGAAAGAGAATGACGAAAGTTTGATATTTAACTGAAAATGTACTGAAAAGACGTCTTTTTTTCTAATTTGTACAGATATCGGTGGATTATCTAACTGATCCTTCGGCTATGGAAGAAAGGGTAAGAACTTATACGAAATTCGACCAATATAGAAACATCTACGTAAATTTGGTTAGTGTTTTTATTTGTCTTTATTGAAAGGCGTCTCTCGAATATAATTGAAAAATCATTTTTGTTTGTTTGTTTTCTAACTATTCAGGAACAATTCATTGACAAAAGTTGTACGAAAGTTGATCAAGAATACTCTGTGCATAGAGTTTATACTCTGTTTAGGACATTGGGGCTTCGGCATTTGGTAGTCATAGATTGTTGGAATAGTGTTGTTGGAATTATAACTCGTAAAGATTTAATGAATTATCACTTAAATGAGAGATTGAGCCTCGTTGAGAGTAGTTGGAAAGTGGAAGAACAAATAACTAACACTAGTAACGAAGATAAAGGAGACAATTCTGCCTACCAAATCCTTCCTGCTGTAACAATTTCAAGAATAGAGGAAGAAACTGAGGAGACTTCTAGAAAAAATACGATATCCTCAGTCGATGAAGAGGCTGATGGAAAGGACAGGAAAGACGAAAATGGCAATGCAAAGAGTCCCGCTAAAGAGGGGGAAATGAAGGAAAGTTTTCAAGTCGTAACAGAGGTTAAAATGAGAAGCAATAATAGAGCTAAAGGAAATGAAGAAGCGGTTAGTGACGAAAGAGAAAAAAGTGATAGCTAGTTTAACTTTTTTTACAGAAGATAGGAAGATGAAACTGTCTCAATAAATTTATAAAATGTGATATTTTGAATTGTTTCCTCAGTTTTTTTTTTATTTATTGTGGCATTTGGCTGCTTTTCGTATCTTTGTCCTTTTGCAGCGTTAATTCGATTTCTTTTATATGATATGAAAAGGAGATATGTATGCGATTCATGAGGAAGAGAAGGGGAGAAAAGGATGATAAGATGGATGGATGGATGATTGATTGGTTTCAGTGGCATTTCCTTTAGAGAGGATTATCTGCTCTTGTGAATATATGTGTATGTATATATTGGCGTGTATGTGTGCTGTACATATAAATGTAAATATACATTTATATAAATATATATATATACAGTATATATCTACTTGATAAAAGTACAACTAAGGGAAAAAATCATTTTTCTCTTCTCAAAATTTTGTTTCATATCACAAAAAAGTATAGATTTTCATCTGCGTTTTGCGTTTTTTTGCGTTTTTTTGCTTATTTATAAGAATACTTAATAACAGTTTGAGTATAAATCAAGAACATATCTGCTTTTCGACTCTTTCAAAGTCCATATTGAACATATCAATTGAAGAATTTGCTGTTGCTTTCATCTCACGCCAGCCTTCGTCGACAATACTCCATATTTTTCGATTCCTTTCAACAGTTTCTTCGAGAGGCTTTGCTGCCGGAAACAATTTTCCCAATATTCTGAAAACTGGTAAGGCGATTCTATCCAAGAAATTCACTTGGTCTTCACTTATGTTTGCTCTTTGCCTGTCCATTTGAACGCTTGGTGTTATACCTTGAGCTTTCTCCATATCTCCTTGAGAGAAGAATTCATTATAGATCAAATTTGCAACAGTTTTAGAATTACTAAAGCACTTTGCTTGATCGGATAGATCGGAACAAGTTATCAGTAAAGATCTTAGGAGGTACTGGTGTTTTTTGTTAGTCTTAACAAATCCGCTGTCGGCCATTTTTTCCTGATCCTTAACTAAATTTAAGTGTAGACCTAAATCTGTCGCTAAAATGATATCTCTCATCAACTCTACAATTCTCTCGTAGTTCTCCGAGCTCAAATTTTCAAAAATGTTACAATCGGCACTGTTCAATATGCAGAGAGTTTGATTAAAATGATGTCTTTCCATAACAGATCCCTCGGAACTGTAGAGTGTGGCTAAAACTGTTTTCTATGAAAAAGAGAAATACAATTAGCATTTGGCATCTATTTTGCATTTGAAGAGAGGAACATACAAAGTGCTTTTGATAAGCGTTGGTTGTTCCTCGATGGTCGATATCGTGGCATAATCCGGCAACTGTTAGAGCTAAGCAGTCTAAATCGCTGCGAAATTAGAATAAAGAAAGGTCATATTAATTGGGGTTTTTTTTATTTGATTGGCGTTGAAAGGAAGGAAATAAGGAAGGAAGGAAGGAAAGTAAAGAGAAATGAGAGATGAATACTTACTCCATGTAATTGGACAAACCAAAATTTTTATACATAACATAGCAGAAATGCGCAACGGAGAAGGCGTGAACCCAATTGTGATAGGGTGGATCTCTATATCCTTTTCTTACCATTAACACAAAACGAGCCAATTTTGGTTTAGAAATACGAAATTTGCTTATAAAATTCATATCTTCTAGCATGGCGATAAAAGCCTGAAATAGAGAAGAATGACGATAATTTAGAAAAGAGGGGAATGAGAGAAAGAAAGAATTGCAGATTTGCAAGACAGATAGAAATTGAAAGAACAATATACAATATATACAATAAGGGGAATGCATTACTGTACGCTGTATACTCTATACTGAATACTGAATACCAAACATATGAAAGGTAGAAAATATCAATTGTACAATCAGCATAGGCTGCTTTATAGTACAAGTAATATACTTTATTCTGTCTACAGACCAGATTAAGTACTCTGTACTGTATAATTTACAAAGGGTCGATTAGATAATTACTCTTCCTAGTAGGGTTTTCTCCCTTAATTAGATAACGGCACCAGAATTAATTACCATTAAACTAATTACTAATAAAATTAGATTTTAATTTTTATCTTACCATGGCCATTTCATTTTCGGAAAGAATTCTCGGTAGAAACGACAACGAATCAAGTTCCGGATGAATTTCTTTCACTGAAGGATTCTGATTTCTGGTGAGTTGTTGATAATCTTCCGTACATACCTAAATGATAACGGCGATGAAGAGGCGGAAGGGGAAAAAAGAGGGAATTTTAAAAATAAGACAAAATTGAGAGGCTGGCCCAAGATGAATAGATTAATAGTTGGAGCCGAGCACGTTGGTCTAAAAATAGAGATAATCACCTGCATATGATAAAGCATCAACTCGTTGGATAATTGAGTTCTGTGTTGCGATTCTCTAACTTTTTTGTAGAGGATACTCTGTGTTGTCGGTATTAAAAGGGGGAAAAGAAATGTCTTTAAATACTGAATACGCCTATTATTCCCTATTGTATAGCCCAAAAGTAAAATAATGACTACTTACGTGCATTATGCTTATGCAGCAATAAACGGAGAAAGCCTGGGCAATTTCAATGTCGTTAGCAGTGAAACCGGCGGCGTTGATTTTATTACATAATTGAGCTACTCCAACGACAACGTCTGAAATATCAGTCTTGTTTATTATATACAATTCACCGTTATTCAATATGGTAATTTCTATCATACTATTTTCATCCTTAATGGGAAAGCAGAGTATATTTCTCGTTCGGAAACCCGTACTCTCATCAACGCCTCTATAGAAAAGGTCGTGTGAATAGGCATCGTCTATGTTGAGTATTTCTCCTAATTGAATAAACAAAAGGCTGGTAAAATGTTCGTTTCTAGGCTAAAAGTATCACAATGACTACCAGTCGTTGCCACGTGGCCAGCTATTCCTTGAGATGCAGGTATACGAATTTCATTGCGGCTCTCCTGTCGGTCGTTCTCTCCGCTGTCGAATACTTTGGCGACGAGTTCATCGGTTTCCTTCTCCAAAAGAAAGACCGAACATCTAAAGGAGAAATAACGAATAGTTTATCGTTTTAGACGGCGTGCAAATGCATCCATAAGAGGCTTACGACGTTAACATACTACAATCATGCACCAGCCTTGGCTTATTACTGGAAAATTTAATGTAAAAGAATTCCCTGTAGGCTAAACATAATCAGAAAAATGCATGCCGAGTCAGCACTACAACACGAGTTATAGGATCCTGTTATATCAACATTATTCTCCCCCTCTCTCCTCCTTTTATGTTTTCATAATTAACCACCATAACGATTTCTTATCGATCTATGCCTAGATTGATAATCGTCTTCTCTTTCTCTTTCTCTCTCTCTCTCTCTCTCTCTCTCTCTCTCTCTCTCTATTTCGTTACCGACAAAGTCGAAAGCATTTTAAATTCATTACTGCTTATTATAATTCCTTTAAAAAACATTATCCTCTCAACGGAGACGATTTAAGGACTCTTTACTTATAAAACTCTACCTTTTAAAGTGGCTTAATACTCGGGGAAGAAAGGAGTAAAGAGAAAAAGAATTACTTGGGTCGATTCTAATACCTCTGCACAGCACGAATCTTGTCTAATAATCGACCGATTAACACTCTTTCACTCTGAGCAAAGTGGGCGGAGCCGCCTACGTACACACGAAAAGAATAACTTTTGTATTCTCTATTATGTTTTATCGCTAGAGGGCCAACTTTTCTGAGCGTTCCGTTATGCTATTTTTCAAGCGTTATATCCTAGTCTCTTATATCTATCAAACTCTGCCCCATTTCCCGTCTCTTCCCCTTGCCTACCCCTAAAGACATAACGCTATGAAATCCCTATAGCGTACCTTTCAGCTTTGGTAAGATTCTTTGCCTCTTGCATAATTCTTCTCAACAAAATCGTTAGGTCATCTGCAAAAGAGAAGGGTGTTTTTTTTTTAAATAGAAAGTTCATAAAAGTCGGTAGTGACGTCATGTCGTCGAAATGACATTCAAGAAAATGTTGCGATATTTTATCAATCCAATTTTGCATAGGAAAATGCCATTTCGACAGTGAGCTATTTACCTAAATGAGTAAACAAATTTCTAGCCACCTGCAGCATTGTCTGTAAGAAAGAAACAATAAGTCTCCAAGAAAATTTTAACTAGCCAATTAGAGAGTCTACACCTGCGTCTTATTCTTCAAGAATCTCTCGTTTTGCAGCATTAACGTTGAAGTTAATACGGACGATGTGTACTTAAAACACTGACCAATTTGTTCAACGTCTTTTTCGTTGAACTCTCCACTTCTTTTATTTATTAGACAAGCAATAGCAACCACTTCGCTTGTATCAAGAGTAAGGACGGGAGCGCATAGCATTGATTGTATTTTCCTATTACAAATCACCTCCATCTGCTCTCTAAACTCTACAGGAACGTCCATCGTGTACATAGGACGTTTTTTAGAAATCATTGAATAGAACGGCGAACTATCTACGGCGTAGCGGACTTCCGGCTTAAGGATCCTTTCTCCGACAACTTCGCAGAACCATTCCCTATCATCAGAGGAGAGTAGTAGTAGAAATCCACTTTCGGAGAAAGTCTCACGAGATAGCTGAATAAAAATTACAGTCTATAATTAATCTCACTTTTTTCGGTACTATATTTCAATGCTATGTAACGTTAGGAAGACTGGAGAGAATAAAAAAAACACCACTTGATAAACTTACGTATCTGATTACTTTAATTTGCAGCGTGGAAGCGTCTTGATCATGCAGATCGGCTGCAACAAAATCAGTTTTATTATACGCCAGAAAATATTAATATAACAGTTTATATGCTATATTTATATATATCTTGTCTGTCTTTTTATATAGAGTGTATATTCATCCCCTTCTCCCTGTTCCCTTACCACATAAATTTAGTATTCTATCTGCGTTGGAAGGATGGGTATTTTTCTGCCGCCGAATTCTCTTATGACAAACAGCAATCTGTGAAAAGGAAAGAGAACACAAACTGCAAAAAGTTAATCGATATATTTTTATAAACTTTTCCCTAACTATCACTTAACCTAAGATTATTCTACTTGACATTTAGACCTTTTTCCCTTCTGCTTCTTCTTCCTACCCTTCCCCTCCATTTCGAATAGCTATGTATCTAGCACCAGAACTATAAGACGAGTCTTATTGAAACAATCGTCACGTTCAAATGTTCAATTAGCATAGAATGGGAGAGTTCTAGTTTAAACGACACCAATGATAATGTTTCTCTCTTTCAATATAAACAGTGTGTGTCACCGATTCCGACAATTGCCGCAAGAACGATAACGACGACGACGACGATGATGACTCTAATTCAGATTGTTATTCTTCTTTTTACAGTAGGTACCGAGGAAAAAAATTGATTACTCGCTTGTCGAAATTCAATCAAGTAAACGGAGACGAATAGCGAAATTAAGAGAAGGCGTCTCTTCACGTCACTATACAAAATTTTAGCCGTGAAAAATGTATCACTCATCTTATTAAGTTTTAGCAGGCATAAATGATTCATTATCTTTTCTAAAAAATTGATTAAACTGAAGAGAAATAGAGCAAAGCTGGCTGCTGCGTTAAATAGCTCTGCCCGAAGCTACATGACTTCTATAAGTGCTATTTAGCCTTCAAAATACTATACAATGAACGTTTAATGCTTTTTCTTCTTTCTCCCGCTTTTTTCCCCATTCTCCCGTCCTTCCTCTCTTTTTCTCTTTAGCCTCTACTCTCGGCTTTCTTCTACCTTCTAGGAGAGGAGTGATAAAAGTAAGCCCTTCTCTCTCTCTCTCACTTGCTCTCTTTCTCATTCAGCTTGAAAACTTTTCAAAAACGAAATTATCAATAATCACCAAATTCGTTTGGAATGTAACGGAAAAGTAATAATATCATAGTTTAATCGAATAATGGGGTGGATTAACACTTCTCAAGGGAAAATAAATGCACACACGCTTTCAGAGTTTGTTACTTTCCCTCTTCATATATACTTACGTGCGATACTGTCTTCCGATTGCATTCTACTATTTCCGTTACAAATGACTTTTGTAACGATTTAAGCAATTAAGATTTAAGATCACTGCTAATTAATTGTTTAACGCCCATCTTACACGCTAATCGTGTAATTTCATCATCTGTTTCTCTTTGATTTTATCAAATCAATTATCTTTTCCATAAAATAATCCGTCATAAGGTTTTTATGGGCGATTGCTCGCATTCCAAACATTCCTCGTCTTAAAAACCTTTTAGGAGGACTATAATGGACGGAACTGGAGAGTCGGTAGGTTGCCCTAGGAAGGCGGATGGACGAACGGAAGTACGCTTAGATACCTATAAATTATACAAAATGTTTTCCTTTTCGTGCCTATTAGCAAGAACATACAATTGGACAATTGCGGGTTAGCAAGGCAGGCCAGAGATTGATACGCGATTTGATTGATAGAGGATTTTGGATAAAGAAAAATGGCATAAATTTGAATGCATGAGTGAGAGAGAGAGAGAGAGAGAGAAAAGAAGTAAGGCAAAAGCGTCTTTTGTCTACGTTTTCTTGCTATTTGCAATAAACAAAGTTAACCCAATAGAAAATCGATATATCTAACTTTTTTTAATTTACAATCTCCTGGTGGGATAAAGATTCGAGTTGAACGGTTGGAATATAGAAGAAGGGCTAAAAGTTGCGCTATGAGCTACGAAATGTAAAGCCATATGAAGCTAGGCTCATTTCCACTTAGGACTAATAGCAGTGTATATATGTATAGAAAGTAAATAATGTGCCCTTAATGAGGTGCACGACGCTAGTCCGTAACGACCCGACTAGAGTAGGGGAGGAAATTGAGTCCAGGTCTTCACCTCTCCTGAGGGGTATTCGATTATCAAGGCATGGACGTGATGAATGTCTTTTTATGTTGATAGTGAAATAGGACTAATCATTCTCCATAGCAAATGGTGTTTTGAATAAAAAATCTGTCTCGTTTTCTGTTTTTTTCTCTCTCTCTCTCTCTTTCTGTCAATCTCTCTAACTTACTATAATATTAATATTAATAATAATATTAATAATGATATTAATAAGAACAAAAATTTTTACTATCGTTATTATTATTATTATTATTTATAGATTGATTAATAATTGATTTAACGAGGGAAATATTCTATTGAAAAATTCCTTTTTTGTCTCACTCATCGCCTAAAACCGTTGATTATTATGTAAAGTAGTTATTTGAAGCGAAATATGTGTGTATGAAGTCGGTAAGCGACACAAGTTCCCGAAGGAAAATCACTCTTGACAGTTTGTCAATTCATAAAACACCCTTAAGGTATATTCCTATAGCACGACTGATCTGCTCAAAGACTCGAAAAACTCCTATATGCAATTTTATTGAAGCTATTCGATTGCCCATTTAGCAGTAAGTTTGATTGATTAACCCGAGAAATTTTCCTATAATATACAATTTTTACTAACCTGTTTTTCGATAAATTCCAAATGATTTTCATCCTCTTTTGTCAGGGCATTGGAGACAAACTGTATAAATATATCAACAATATATCAACAAATAAACAAATCAATATTATAGATATGGCAGTCGTATGTGAATAATCCAACAAAATTTAATCTCTCCCTCCTTCCCTCTCTATACCAGATTCTTAATATCTTTTCAAAGGCCTACTCGTATCTATCCGAATCTGTTAGTTTCTTTCATCTGCCATCTTAGCACGCGTCACGCGCACCTCTTTAAGAGTAATCATTTCCAGAGAAACTCGAAAGGATTTCTTTAAAATTTCCGTCGCAAGTCAAGTTTCTATGGTAACTGACAAACATCAGCCTCAATTTGCATAATTCGAAAATACGTTTATCGATAGTCGTCGTAAGAACGTTTGAAGAAAAAATTTTCCCTTAAATATCTTTCTTGCATATGCTATACAGACGTCTTTATACGGTATAAATTTACGATTAACTTACCGCTAAAACTGCAACAATTGCGTTTGTTTCTAGGCAGATTATGGGGCTGCAGTAAACTGAAATGGACGAAAAGGTTCCGTTACTAAAAGCTGACGTATTGATAAAAACAAAAATAAAAAGAGAGGAAAGACAAAGCAACAAAGATAGAAACAAAGAAAACAACTAAACGTAAAAAAGAGAAATGAGCAAAAAGACAAAACAAAGAAATGGCTTTTTTTTTTTGCAGTAGGAAGAAGAGTAAGGGTAATCATTTTTGTTGTTATTGTTATCTCGATTATTCGTAGTGATAGGGAAGAAAATAGTCTCTTACCCTAAACTAATAACGAAAGAAATGAGGAGAAAAAGAGAAACGATTGGAACGGCGAAGAGAAGAGAGACGGAGAGTAAAAAATCTAATAATAAGTATATGCTGTAAAACAAAGTTCTATAGAGATTGTTGTATTTACAGTCTGCTCTAAATGCAAACTTTTTAATGGAAATACAATTAAAAAAGGCTGATTATATATACAGTATTATGCATATTGTGTATATTATGTACACTATATTATCTCTACAGAATCTACAATTTCTTTAGTTGTTCCCTTAAAAATCATCTATATTCTTAATACGCTATATACTGTATATACATAAGGTATATAGTTATGAATAACATTTGTTTATACAAATATGGACACTTATTATAATGTTGACTTTAATAGTGATTCAATATTTACAAGGGTTACATGTATATATACTTGTTTAAATATACATAATGTATACATCCTTATTTACATTTATCGAAAATAGTATTCACCTCGCTCAATGAAATGATAAAGGAAGGAAAGAGACGAATGAATGGATGAATGAACGGTTGAATGCGTGTATGTATGTATGTTTGTACGTTTGTCTCTTTGTCTCTTTTTATTTACTGTATAAAGGTATATACGAATAGGTGGATGGACGGACTGATAGATAGATAGATAGATAGACAAATATATGAATAGGTGAAAGAATTCATGACAATTAAAAACATGTTGATTAAAAAGACAATGTTACTAGTTGAACAAAGTTTTATTTAACTTTTAATTACACTGTGCTTTATTAGTTTCTACGAGTGATATTCTCCCTCTCTGTGTCTCTCTCTCTCTCTCTCTCTCTCTATCTCTCTTGCAACTACTACATTCTTTCATTTAAGACATGTTTTTTCTGCAGATTGCACCATAATTATAGCATATTTAGAAAAAAAAAACTGATTGAAACTATGAACTATAACTGTGTTTAATTACGTCTATAAAATAATTAGTGTTGAAATAATCCATCTACTTTTCGTCTGCATCTAACAGAGCATATTACATGTAGTATACAGTATATATACTTTATATACAGTATACACACAATATCCATACACTAAACCATCCAATCATTCTCTTTATATTGAATATTAACTGGTTTGTTAAGGCGGTGCATTATTCTCGTAGATATTCATAACTTATGAATCGAACATTTTACTAGTCGGCTTGTATTGACTCTTTAAGAGTTTATAAAATATACAATGCACGCCTACCTATTTTATGCTCTTCACCGTTTACACAACCCTACTTCTATATTGCAAATTCGTTATCGACATTTCTGCTGAGGTTAGATAATCTTAGCATAAACCTATAATCCCGCTATATTTTTTCATCCTTTTCCTCTGTTTTATTGTCTTCGTCGTTATTGTCGCTACGTAATATTCTTCCTGCCTAATGTTGCTTTTTCCGTCCGCTTCTCTCTTTTCCAAGTCAACTTATGCTTACTGAATGAAAAGTCTATTGTTTTTCTTCTCTTCTCTCCTACTCGAGTTCAGAGAATATACAATATTCGGCTTCTATTTGTTTCCTACACATATTTTTAAGGTTGAGAAAATTCGAATGGTCTAGTTGATTGATATCAGATCATTAAATAATCGAGTAGTGCAGCTAAGATCACATTAATAATTAAAAATAAGAGAGGGGGTGGAAAAGGGTGGAGGGGGAAGAAATCGATAGCTCTACGCCTTTTACTATTGATAGAGTGAGGCAAAAATGTTTGATGTGTCGACAAAAAGGAAGAAAGTAGAGTTGAATTATAAAATAGAGAGAATAATAGAGCGTACTGTACGAAACCAATAAAAAACAATTTATTGGTCACCCGCTTTCTT